AGATAGATAGATAGATAGATAGATAGATAGATAGATAGATAGATAGATAGATAGATAGATAGATAGATAGATAGATAGATAGATAGATAGATAGAGAGAGAGAGAGAGAGAAAGAGAGAGAGAGAGAGAGAGAGAAGAAAAGCCGAGGTCGCTTCGTGGCTCGCTCGTCCAAAAATACACGGCCGTACCGTCTCCGTCATCGAGTCGATCGACACGTTGTTCTTATCGACAACGGGAGAAGATATTCAAAGAAAGCCAATGTCCGTGTATTTTTCAATAAAAACCGTCTCGCGACTCATTATTTTTCTCAGATCGATAATTTATGATTATTGTTTGAAAAAATTGTAAAGAATATGGTAAAGAGAACCGTTCTCTCTCTATCTTTCTCTTTTTTTTCTCTCTCTCTCTCTTTCTCTCCCTTCATTTTCATTTCCATAGACTTAATAAGGTAATACGATAGAAACTGGTGGGATGATTCGAAACGTCGAGGAATATCGTACCTTCGCAGATGTACCCCTGCTGAATAAGGCCCCAGAGCATGTCCGTGCAGCTATGGCAGTACGTTGGCTTGTGAAACGTCTTCTTAGCAAAACTGTGCCCATGGCTGGATCGAGTCTCAGCCGAGACCGACGCCATGTTCCCCGTTCCACCGCGGCAACTCTCACGCCAGATTTTCACCGTGAAGATGCACAGGGCGCGCCGTGCAAAGACGACGACGACAACAACAACAACATAATTACACCTCGAGTACTACGTGATTTCGAAACCGTACGCGTACATAATTGCGTTGTATTAAATACCGTCGCGGCTGATTTCTCGGCTGCAGTTGTTCCCTCCTTACGACTCTGTTGTCGTTGACAACGTTAGCGATTGCCGTTGTTCTCCTTCGTCTTCTTATCAACGGCGTTTTCGTAGTCGATCTTGTCGTCTTCGTCGTTTTGGTCTTGATCTTGTTCTTGTTTGCCGTCGTCGTCGTCGTCGTCGTCGTCCTTGTCGGCTTGGTCGCCGTTTTCGCCACCGCTATCGTTGCCGCTCGACGGCCGACCACCGTCGTCGTCGTCGTCGTCGTCTTGGTTGCCGTCGTCGTCTTGGTCGCCGTCGTCGCCTTAATTCCACACTTTCCGTTAATCTTGATCGCCCTCGGCGTCGGCGTCCTTTTTCTCGCCGTCACGTATCTAACGCGCATTATTTTCCAAACCACCTCGTCGCGTTACGACCGATCGACGACACCACCGACGATGATAGGAACGCCTCTTCTTCGGCAGCTCCACCTTCGCTATTTTGTTTAGCTCTACGAGCTTCTTCGTCGGTCTTTTTTTTGCCACACAACTCGACTCGTACTTCCTACACCACCAATGGAGAGTCGACGTCGATCTTTTCATCACCACTACCTCCTCCTCTTCCCTATCTTTTTACCCTTCGTTCCTCACGTTCTCGGCTCTCCGTCCTCAGCTCCGTCCTCCTCGTCCACGTCCTCCCCTATATCCTCGTCCACGTTTTTGTCCTTTTTTCTTCTCCTGCGATTTTGTTTGCGGGACTAACCCGCGACCTAGATCGCGATCTCACTCGCCTCACAACCTGTCTACACCGCTCTTTTTATCGCTCTTCTTCCTCCACCTCCTCCTCCTTCTTTCTTCTTCTTCTACTTCTTCTTCTTATTTTTCTTCTTCTTCTGCTTCTGCTGCTTCTTCTTCTGCTTCTTTTTCTTCTTCTACTTTCTCTTTTACTTCTCGTTTGTCTCTTTTAAGATTTTTTTTCCGTTATTCCCTTCGGTCGCGTATAAATTATAACGACTACAGTAGTAGTAGATAATCACCCAGTGATTCTACTTGCCTAAGTAGAAGAATGAGAGACGCTCTGTTCTTCTTTCGGTCTCGGCTTCGCATTCGCGCAACCGAGACACGGACCGGCCGCCGAGTGGCCGCACTGACATCGGCCTTCTGTCCCGAACAGCTGCGCATGCGACACCAGCCGAGCGATCGCACCCTTCCACTGACGTATCATCCTCGGCTTGGTACCACTATGGATATACACCCTCTTATTATGATACAACTTTCTTATTCCTTTTTTCTTATCCTCACCTTTCTCATTTATCCGATAATGCTCATTTTATCCTATTATTCTATACTGTTACTTATTAATGAAAAAATTGCTATTTTATAACCTACGCGATTAGGGAAAAAGAACGTTATTCGAATCATCATTTTTCCCGGGTTACCAAAAATACATCTTCCATCATTGCCCTAGTCGTCACCGTCAACGTAGTGCACGTAGTTGCGCTTGCTCTTTGTCGTCCTATCTTTACCTCTCCTTCTCTCCCTATCCCTCTTTCTCTTTCGAGAAGTCGACTCACAGTCGCGTCCAAACGCGCTCCACCCTGCTGCTGCTTGCGATCAGATGTTCAACATTTGCTTCTTTCGTCATCTCTTGCTTTTTAGGTCCTTTGGGATTTCAATTTAAAACCTATCCAAATATTACTCGATTTTACGTTCCTTTTTTTGTTCTTTCATTCCATATTTATTTGAACACAAAAGAGAAAAGGAAGGACGCGCGTTTCCTGCTTTTCTACTCTCTATTGTTTTATTTTGATTTTAAATATTATCGGAAAATAATCGAATCCATAATAACTTCGTTACTATCGTTCTTTGTGATTCATATAAAGTATGAACGAGGCGTCAAATGAACATCGTTATTGGTCTTTTTTAATGGGTATACTTGTTTGTTGTTTATCGCGCATCTACGAGATCAAATTGGGCTAGTTGATTGTCGAAAAAGGATTAGAGAAACGTGAAGACGTCATCGTTCTCGAACCGTACAATACGACGACAACGGTGACGACGATGAGGAGGCAACGTCGTACTGAAAATGTGTTGAACGCGCCGACGCGCATCATCCACCTCCTTTAGCATCGGTTATTCTCTTAACATTCTTTTCACCTAGCTTGTGTACTAAGAGATTTGATATTCATCAGCACATTATAATGATTATTTTCTACTCGACACCACTTTTATAGTATAGCTTTAGTAACGAATGTAAATTACGATGCTAAAGTAAGTCTAGCATAACAGGATCTATCATATCATTGTCAATATTCCTGTGATCCAACACAAAAGAAACGTATGAATGCGAATGAAACTTCCGCGTTAATCGCATGACAGGGTGGTGGTGTTTGTGATTTTTCAATAACGGAACAAGTGGGAATCCTAGAGAGAAATGTTTCCCGTCCTTTCCGAGTATCTTCGTCCCACATTCTTTTTACGCGTTTTTTTAACGACGATCAACGTTCTATTCATTCGTAAGAACCAATACGGTGCCACGTTAGCAATCACGCATGCAACCAACAACCACACACACACGCAGTCATGTACGCACGCATGCACGCACGCACGTGCCAAACCAAGTTGGACGTTTCTGATGCGCTTTATATTGTCCGACGAAGCATAAATTATACTACTCAAACGACCTCGATCTATCTTACAAGGATAGGATTAGACCTGTAGAATAGACCGATTTTTTGAAAACTCTACCCAATTATATGGGTCTATTATGACCGTGCACTGTATAAGCAGTAAAATCCAATATCTTACTTACTTGAATACTCAATCGTTTTTAAGTAAAAAGAAAAGGGAGAATTTTCACAAACACTTTATATATCAGCTGATAATGGCCCAGATTTGTAACCGCAAAATCGTTTATATCGGACGATTTTCTTTCACTTTCATTTAAATTTTATTTTCGCATTTTCTATTTTTGTTAGTATAAAATATGTTTTATTTTAATATAAAGAGGCTATTTAAAGGGCTAAATAGATTAGTCAAACTTCATTCGTCGATCAGCTTTCGTAACAAGCGGATGTTGCTTAAAGATGAAAATATCAAAAAATAACACTGCCAATAAAAAATATATTTTATATAATAAGAAATATAAAAATTAAATTTAAATTAAAGTAAAAAAAGAAAAGTCCGAGCCGTTGTTAATTTCATGCATAAAGGGATAGGATCGAATCAAGTTTGTTTGATCGGTAGGCAAAGATGCATCGTTTAAGGTGATCAAAACTAATCGAATATATTTATTCTTATATTTGTTTTATTTATTATGGACGGAGCACAAAGCATTATTTGCAATCAATGCAGTCTTAACATAAAATACATACATATTTCAATCTTAACATTGGTAAATGTTTTTCTATTAATTTGCATGTATTTTCTATAAACGTGTGCACAACAGTTGAGCACACACAGTTTACATAAAACGTAAAATATTTTTAAACCTATTTTTGATTACGTTGCAATGAAAAATATCTGCGTATTCGGATAAAGTCAAAACTACGCAAAAAAAAAGTAAACTATTCTTTTTATTATATTTTTCTTCAGACTTTTATATCATGCTCTCGTTTGATATTGTAAAAATGACAATTAATTTTTCACTTACTTTTTTTTAAATGTATGATTAATAAAATCGAAAATATTTTCACAAGACGTCTAAAGATTTCGACAAATTAAATGGCTCTAGGCCATTTATAAATATGTCCTACGAAGCAATTATACAAACTTTACAGAGTCATTCAAATTTCTTTTTATTTCAGCGATAAATCTAATAAATATGCCTTTTTTACGTACTCCTATACCTTACGTAGTTCTACGTTATAATCAACATCGTTTGATGAAGAAAATCGGACCCTTGATAGATATCATTTAATCGTTTATACAAATTCTGTTAGATAATATTTGAATATATTTATATTTAATATTAATTTTATGTATGTGTGTACGCGCGAGCGCCTATTAGTGTTTTTTTCGTGCGTATATATATTTATTGTCATTATTAAATTGAAGAATATCTTCAGCATACAGATAGATCCCACTTTAACAATTGAATTCAAAAATGTTCTTCTGCTTCTGATTATTCATTTCTCTCATCAGCAATCTAATAAGTGTGTGTAATATAGTTTAAATCTGTTTAATTTAAAGAAATTTTGTTAAAAGAGAGACATTTTCGTTTTGAAGAAATGTCGATAATTCATAGAGCAGGAGCTACCTGTACCCTAAATATTTGAATTAGAAGCAATCTTTGATACCCATATTTGTGCTATTCCTTACGAATAATTATTTTCAATACGTTAGAGAATTCAATATTATTTTCCTTTCCTTAGTTCGTCAAATAGATTAAGGATATGAAAAATTTAATGAGAACATTATAACATGAATTAACGAGACAATGTGATGGAAAATGTGATGTATACTTGGAATATACATTTTATGGAGCATACAAATGGAAAATATCTGATATTTACTGCTAATAACTGTTATTTACTGCTATGAAAATCGTTAACAATGGCCTTAGATATAAATTCGTTTCTGTAATTAGCAACAGTATAATACTAAATAGTTGAGTAAACATAAAATCTGTATAACTTGAATATTATATTATATACACGTTTACACGGTCTAACTAAATGTAATTGTGCACCCAAGGTTCAACAGAGCAGTCTGTTCAAATGTAATCATTAATTATTCGTATAAACAATATAATAATGGTTCTCCAACAATAAGTACATTTTACAAATAATTCATCAGTCATTGGATCAGCATGAAAGATAAAACGTAAACAACTTGAAATATTATAATAATGAATTAATATAGATGATATAATTCATTGACAAGTCTTCCTTTACCTGATATGTAACATTGCTACTTGTAAAAAAGCAATGTACCTAATTTAGAAAATACTGACTGGTGACTTAGTAATACGTATATTACGCTATTCTTTAACTTAATTAAATCTTTGAAAAGTGATAATCGTAGAATAACATATTTCTTGTTAAAATTTGTTAAATAAATATTATTTATATATACATAACATTTAAAATAAATATTATATATATATATATATATAAATAACATTTACTAAAAGATTTTTAGTGCGTTATTCATTCTTAATAGTTTAAGTAAAATAGTAGCTTACACATAAAATGCAATCAATTTCCTGGAATGATAGGACATTTCTATAGAATGTCTTGCCAATTGGAAAGAAAAAGTAACTCCTGAAAAAATATTATCCTAATCCGTGATCTTCGAAAAATCCTTGCGGGGTCTCCTCCTGAAACATAAGCAATGTGAATAGTTTTGGAAAATTTTTTGGAGTACTTTGACATAATATATGAATAGGGATCAATTACTTTGATGCTGCTTCCTATTATAAAGTCTATATAATACTATAATCACAGAATATATATGAGTAAGCAAGCACGTACCTACTTTGACTCAAGTTATCTTCTTGTTGCAGCTTCAAATGATGAACTGAACCCTTTTCATATAATCAAGTAATTTTGTAATCATTTTTATTAATAAAGTGATGTGTATAGTGCACGTTTATATACAGCGCCTAAATTTTTAAGCTTAGTTTAAACAGTTTTTCTTTAGCATGCTATAGGGCACCTCACATATATTATTATTAATTGTGTTAATAAACAAAAATCTATACAAAACGAACCATTATTGGACTGAGAACACAAATGTTAAAATAATATTTTTTTTTATTATTATTTACTCAATATATTAGTTTTATTTCTTATTTGAACATTTGAAAAAATTTCTAAATCACAATTTGTAAAAAAATTGAAGCGCGATTTGTCCAAAAATTTCTTAACGTTATACATTTATGAATTTATTACAAATACATTCGATGTTCTTGTTTCACATTGAAAGATCAAATCTTATTGCTTATACTATACGCTTACGTAGATATACATACATATAAAGATGATTCCAAATTGTACTTATTTACTATTAAAGATATCTATCTAATTTGTGTATACATATAAATTATTCTTTCTTTCTTCCTTCCTTCTGTTTTTTTATCTAGTTATACCACCAAAATTCTAAATAGTTTCTTCCGACATATAACGTATATGAATACAGATTTTGTTCGAAAATTTCTTATGTTCTTCTAAATACGTATGAGATATTATTGCCACAGTTATAGATCGTCAAAATCTACAGGATAACTATGATATAATATTGATACAAGTGAAAAATTCTGATTGTAGAATATAAAATTTGTATCTTTGAAATGTTATATTATTTTGTACCACTTTTCAATTCTCATACTGCACAATCTGTTGGTACAAAAATATGACATTATTTTTCAAATTTGAAGGGGAAAGAGAGTGAAAGTGAAAGTGAAAGTGAAGGTGAAAGAGAAAGAGAGAAAGAGAAAGAGAAAGAGAAAGAGAAAGAGAAAGAGAGAAAGAGAGAAAGAGAAAGAGAAAGAGAAAGAGAAAGAGAAAGAGAAAGAGAGAACTGAACGGCGAAGAAGAGATTAATCTATGTAGAAAATCTCTTGTGATAAAGTTGACACATATGATGATGCACACGACGACATAGTTCTCAAGGTGAATTTTTCGATGCAGATGTTCATCCAGGTAGAGTCATTTCTGGCATGTAGAATATATAAGAATGCAGCACCTATAAAAGCCCTATCTCCCGCAGAGCACCTTCCACAGCTTCATCCTTCCACAAAGAAACAAACGCTAACTAGTTAACGCATACTCTTGCGCAAATTAATTTGTTAACACTTTTTACTTTCATTTCTACAACATCATACAAACTATTTTATCGATTTTCAATCGATTCTGATAGTACAGCCAAAATAAATGTACTTCTATTATTCTTACATATTCATTATATTATGTTTCTTAACATACCTATTATTATTTTATGCACTCACAATGTTTACATTTATATCAGTGCCGTGTGTACACATTTATATATATATAATTATAAATACTTTAAAACAATTAATACTAACAGTCTTTATATGTATCGGTGGTACACAAGATGGTACACAAAAACTATCACTATAATATTCACAAGTTAACATTTCCAATAATGATGGTATAATAAATATGTCTCTTTTAAAATAATATTTAACTGTATATTTTTTTTTTAAACAATTATAATAGCATTAGCATCATATAAAGTAACAAGCAACTAAAAGCTAATAGTGAATAAAATATTCTCATTGGGATAGGTAAAGAGTTTACGTGCAATTTATAAATAGTTGGTAACATAATTTCTATCGTCTGGTATAAACGTTAATAAATTTATTATTGGAATACAATAACAATACATATGCACACAAACACGCGCGCATATAAACACTAAATTGAAAGAATAACAAGAATTCATTATTTATTAAATGTCCATAATACATATTGTCAAGAAAATATGTATAATTGGCAGCATATCCATAGCAATAATTTTCACGTTTGTCAAAATATTGCCATAAAACTACATAACAAATGATGTTAAATTTTTTTCTCAAAGACTCCTGTTATTAACATGAAATAGTAACGTTATTAATAATGGAAAGAGAGAAAAATACTAGTATATATTAGATACTATAATATTTTCCTTAATATTATGGCAATACTGTAATGTATATAATAACAAGGTAAGCATGCTTATGTTCGTTAACAATCATTGAAATATCAATAAAATAATATCAAATATAATGGCAAGCTTATCATTGCAACAAAGCAATAGAACGTTACTAGACCCAAACAAACTAGAGGAGAAACAAAAAAATCTTTCTTTCATATTCTACCAAAACTAAAATCAGTTTATTATTACATGAAATAAATTAGTAGCCTATACAATACATATATGATGCTAATACAAGAATAGTTGTTTTACATTCTTGTGAATCAAACTGACTAGATACAATACATTGTATATTATGCAACTTCCCTTATTATTTCTATGATTTATATATCATCTCTAATATATGCTTTGTTATCTCTCATAAAATATGTACATCATTTACATGGCACATTAAATATAAATGAAAACATAGTTTCTGCCTAGGTTACTATTATATAATTAGTTTATGTTAACAACAGAACATCTTTCATTGATCTTGGCACACCATAATTGACTCGTTGAGAATCTTCTATAGATAAAAAACGTATTTGAAAAACACATGGTCATGCAGTAGAGTTTACTTCCATGGAGATGCTACCGCATACACAGTATATAGTATTGTCATAAATAATTATATAAAATCTCGCTATACAAGCTCGCTTAAAATAATCAATTAACAAACACATTAAGCAATCTATGCACGCAAGATTAGCCATTAGAATATTTACTTCTCCATATTTTACTAGATTAACTCAATCATGGATAAAATATTTCTTAAACATGTTTATATAATTACTAGTTACTGTATAAAATAAGATAAGGAACTTAATATGGTTCTCAAAATAACCTTTCATCTACACCGATTCCATAAATTAAACAAAAATAAAAAGTACATAAATAGCCAAAGAATACAAAAAGTATTATTATTTAATAAGAAATTTTCAATTAATCAAAATACAGGAATATTATTTTATAAAATACTATAAAAAGAAAAAAAATTAATGTCAATTAAAAATTGTTAAACGTAATTAAATTTTACGATGAATATGTTAAATAACAAATTCAGCCAATAAATATTGATTTCGACTGACTCGTCGTTTGTACTAAAATTGTAAGTCTACCTTTTATAATAGTATTGAATAAAACAATGAATCATTTGTACGCGAAGCATGTAAAATATTTTTTACGACTAGCATGATTAATGAAACAAAAATAAGAAAAATGTATACTTTCATTGTCATTAATAATAATATCGCAAAAAATATAGAGAGAATTTAAATTGCTATTATTATTTGATCTTATAGCTTCTGGTGTATATTAGAAATTTCCCTATTAATTTATATATTATAATCGCTGTCAAATTATTTTTTCCTAATGCAATAGGTATTAAAAAAATATAATTATTATATATCTAAAACTGTTATATCAAAAATATATATGTATATACCACGTTATTATATCAATAAAAAAAAGATAAACATGCAAACCACATTTGCATCACAGTTTTAGTAGTATTTTTTGCATAGAAATCTTGTTCTTTTGTCTATCATTTAAAAATTGCATATTACTCTTGTTAGAGATATTACACAATAACTACTACTAATAAGAATAGTATCCATGGATCATTTAAAAGTGCAGCACTAGTTAAAGTTAAGTTTATTATGCATGTTTAATCAAAAATAACATATATGTATATAGCTAACTAAAGTTTGAACAAATTTCTATATATGCTACACGTTTAAATGATCAACGTATCACATTTAGGAAAAAACAGTCACACGAACACATTGTCAAAGAAGAAACATTACAATTCAATGGGTACATCTCCATAACTAACCTCCTGTAGTAAATCCTGAGCTGCAATGGCTTTCAATACATTCTTCTTGCTTGTTTCTTGTATTTCTCCGCCAACTAATAATTCATCCAATATATAGTATGCCTTTTCATAATTAAAAATTATATCCAACTCGCATACCTAAACAAAATATACAGTAAAACAGATGCATGCGTGTTGTATATGTAAAAATAGTTAACAAAGAAGATGAAAGGAGAAATTTGGTAATTTCTACTCACACTACCAAAGTATTTATCCAATAATTCAACATATCGATGTATAATTTCTAGAGTGAGCAATTCATTATCATTTTGTTCTATTGCACAACAAAAATACAAACTTGCATATCTAAAATGAAATATTATTATTATTATTACTATTATTATTTCTTTTTTACAAAAATCAGAATATTCTAACAAATGGCAAACTAAATATATACTGAGTGTTAATATAAGTCAGAGATACCTTTTATAAACAACTTTGACATCTTTCCACTCTAAAAAGCTTGACATTTTTGGTTTCCGGGCAAGTATTGTCGTAATTAATTCTCTCGTAATCTTCTTCTTCAATTTATCCGGATGCGCGACATACCACTTTTGCAAGCGTAGCTTACCTTGACGGCTGAACAACAACATAAATTGCATCTAGAAAAATAAGAAAGACAATACTACGTGTAAAGAAAACTTTCTTTTCCAATATTTTCTTATGCAGAGATTAACGCACCATTTTGTGCAAAATATGTTATGTACTGTATGTTTTCAATATACTGTAAATTTCAATCACAAAAGCACTATTTATTTCAAAACGACAAAAGGCAACTTTAATTTTCATTCGACTATTTGTCGTTTATTACTAATGAGGTTATTGCATAATAGACAAATATAAAACTAATCACTTAATCACAAAAGGGAACTTTCCCTTTATCTTATGGCTGACGTACGCTTACGTCGCCTACATTACAGACAGTGATCCCAGAGACTTTAGTTCGTCTGATCGACACAGGGGCGGAAAATTATTATACGCCCCGGGAAAAATTTGAATTCCAATAATTTCTCGGATGAGATTTTCAAAATCTGGAAAAAGAGTGCAAGTTCCAACTTTTTCGAAGTTGATGACCTTTTTCTTTTTTTTTTTTTTTTAGTCTTCAACTCTTGAAAACCGGAACATCGAAAATCGAAAATCACTAGTTAAACCCAAACTTATTAAATTTGATGACTGAAAAAAAAGGTCATGAAGCTTTCAAAATTCAAAATTGGACAGGGATAATTACCGTAAAATCGTACGAATGGGATCACTGATTACAGAGATCTATTAACACGACTACACGACGTCACTTTAGAACTTTTATTCTTGTTAACGGAGTCTGCATTGTTGGCACAATATGCTTTTCAATTTGAAAACTCAAAATGTTTATCAATATCCTTTTTTATTTTTAAGAAAATAATGTCTCCTAGTAATGTTATTATTTTAATATGTATAATATTAATTAATATATATATATATATATATATACAGAAATGTTGAAACAGTAGGATATAAATGTATATATACATTATTTTTTGGAAATTTGATTATAACAATCTAGGGACAATACTTAAATAGATAGTATATATATGTATATTTAGTTACTACAAAATATGGTATGTCGAAATAGGGATGCATTGTAATGTTGATATGTGTATAAGTATGAATGCTAACATGTTAGTTAACGTAGAAATCGTCTTAAAATAAGGCATGAGTTAAAAACGCGATTAGTCTTTTCGTAAATGATCATTGTAATGATATGTAATTGTTTAAACTTATTATCTTTGCATCACCTAATAGTCTAATTGTAAGATAATCAAAAATACGAGGAGTTAGTGTCAAGTCTAGTCGAATGAATTAACATGGCGGTGTGATACGATGTTTCCAAAATATGTAATAATAAATAAGTTGGTACATGTAATATTTTTTTTAAAGAAATCCTTATAACTATAAGCTCTTATAAAATCATATCACAAAATAAAAAAAGAATAAAGTTTATTCAATATTAAATCCTATTGTAGATAAAATTCAAATAGGATACTAACTAGATGGCGACATAAGCAATGTCTCACATCTCAGAATTTAATATGGAAGCTTCGTATTAGCGTTATGAGTCCTCTGCTATTTCTTATTACTTGTTATTCAGTTTGTGCCGTTGCATTGTGTACATTTTAAATTATTTAAATGTATCTGTATATATTAGAAATTTAAATATTACACAAGTATATAATGCTTATATATAATGTTTAAATATGGAGATTTTTTTCATGTGTTAGCCTCTTTTGAAGTGTTTTTATGATTTATTCTTTCTATTGGTCACATCTATTTGTAATATTTTAATTTTAAATAACTTTCAACAATTATAAATCAAATAAATCGGATAATTTGTGCTGTGTGTGAGTAGTCTTGTATATTTAATGTAGAAAAGTATTTAAGTGCTATTTAGGTTATGTTTGTAATCCATGTATGTATATTATAGAAAATTCTCAACTATTTACTTTAATCTACAATATTGTATTGATATAGTTCAAAGACTTCTGGATTCAGAATAGTACCAATAATAGAATAAAAATATTGAAATATATTTTATTTTGAATGCAGAATAGATAAGAAAATATGGCGCAAAGATTTCCTGTTCCGAATACAGGAAATAATGGTCCTCCACCACAACGGTATCCTCCTTCATCTGTACCACCAAATCTGCGTCAATATTCAGGACCAAATTTTCCAGTAAGTGTCTAATATTTTTAATGTATCCTTATTTGATATCAAAGCAATGCAGACACATGGCTATAGATTTTTTTATGATTTTACATCTAGATGCAACAAAGATCTGGATTTACACCTCCTCCGCAAATGAGCAACACAGCACCAGGACCAGGAGGAATAATGAGACCTAATCAGCCTTATACCAATATGCGTCAAGGTCCAATGCCAACGCCTCCTGTTGGTAAAAGAAGCGCCGATCAAAGAATACCTTTATCCCAGCAAAAACCGTATGTAATAGATATCGCCTGTAATATACACTTTTTCATTTATTTTAATAGGAAAACAAATACGCCTACTTTTAGAATAATTGTTTTACATACATTTTTTTTTATCAACATTACTTTGATATAACATTATACCTATAACGGTATACCTATAATCACTAATTTACTCATACACGATTGATCTCATATTTCTCTGGAAAATCAGGAACCATACATGTCATCATCACGCTGCCAACAAATTTGTACACACATTGATCCTTGAATCTGTAATTTTTACAAAAACTTATGTAGGTATTTTTGGAACAGTGACTTTTCACATTCCACATCCAAGAAGAAAAAGAAACTTGCTGACAAGATATTACCTCAAAAAGTACGAGATCTGGTACCAGAGTCCCAAGCTTATATGGATTTATTAGCATTTGAGAGGAAATTGGATGCAACTATAATGCGTAAACGTCTTGATATACAAGAAGCCTTGAAACGTCCAATGAAACAGAAACGGAAGTTACGCATTTTTATTTCCAATACATTCTATCCAGCAAAAGAAGCAGCTGAGGGGGAGGAGGGTTCGGTTGCTTCTTGGGAACTCAGAGTCGAAGGCAGATTGTTAGATGATACTAAAAATGATCCCAACAAGGTATAATATACAATCCTTTTGCATTAACAACATTTTATATTTTATATTCTTGTTGGTAATAACATTTTTCTTATATGTATATTGTGCAACAGGTGAAAAGAAAATTTTCGTCCTTTTTTAAAAGTTTAGTTATTGAATTAGATAAAGATTTATATGGACCAGATAATCATTTAGTTGAATGGCATCGTACATTAACTACACAAGAAACTGATGGATTTCAAGTCAAGAGACCCGGAGACAAAAATGTTCGTTGTACTATTCTTTTACTTCTCGACTATCAACCTTTACAGGTATTACATATTTTCATATTATCCACATCTGTTTTTCTATCTATATAGGAGCATTCCATGTCAGTTTAAACGTGAAAATTAACTTTTTTCATTCTTTGATTTTTTTTTACTTTCTCAAAAGTACTATTTCCTATTTCACAAATTTTAAACTTAGGTTAGTTATATCTTAAAAATGAGTGGTTGAAAAAATTTGAAAAAAATCATTAAAATGTCTCATTAATAACATAAAATTTTCAGCTGAATCGAAAGGAATCAGCTGGAAAAGTGGCCGATTTTACATGGAATGTCCCATATGTATATCATTTTCTCGAATAAATATTTCAAATATAATTATAATTTACATGTGTATTATTTGTTGCAGTTCAAATTAGATTCACGACTTGCACGATTATTAGGTGTACATACGCAAACTCGGCCTGTTATTATTTCAGCACTTTGGCAGTATATCAAAACTCATAAGCTTCAAGACAGTCATGAACGCGAATTCATTAATTGTGACAAATATTTAGAACAAATCTTTACTTGCCCCAGAATGAAATTTGCAGAAATACCACAAAGATTAAATCCATTATTGCATCCACCTGATCCCATTGTGATTAATCATGTTATTAGCGTAGAAGGTAAGTTCAGTTAAAAATATACTTTATTTAAAACAGTATATGTAAACTTTTCTATTTCTAAATCTATCTATTAACTTTGATTTAGGCACAGAAACTAAGCAAACTGCGTGTTACGATATAGAAGTTGAAGTCGATGATACATTAAAAACGCAAATGAATAATTTTCTGTTATCGACTGCAAGTCAACAAGAGATACAAAGTTTAGATAACAAAATACATGAGACCGTTGATACAATTAATCAATTAAAAACGAATCGTGAATTTTTCCTAAGCTTTGCTAAGGATCCTCAACAATTTATTAACAAGTGGATTATATCTCAAACAAGAGATTTGAAAACTATGACAGATGTCGTTGGAAATCCAGAAGAAGAACGCAGAGCTGAATTTTATTATCAACCTTGGGCACAAGAAGCTGTTTGTCGTTATTTTTACACTAAAGTTCAACAAAAACGAGCCGAGTTAGAACAAGCACTTGGCATACGAAATTCATAAAACTATTACAAAATTGTCTATCAATACAATGGAGTGTAGAAAATATTTTCACGATAATCTTTAGTTACAGTTACTATTACATTTGAGTTTTTCGTAATATTATATGTAAACTACAAATGGACTCTTTCTCTCTCTCTCTATTTCTCTCTCTCTCTCTCTCTCTCTCTATTTCTCTCTCTCTCTCTCTCTCTATTTCTCTCTCTCTCTCTCTCTCTATTTCTCTCTCTCTCTCTCTGTTTTATTTTTCTGATTGTGCGGTTTAAATTATACAATCAGTGATTATTAAACATTGATATATTTATGAAGTGAATATGTATTAGAAAGAGAGACTTATTTATATAAATACGTATATTACGTATATTACTGGAATAAGATCTTTTTAAATGAATTATAAAATCTTATATTATATTATATATTTGCTGCAGTACTATTATCACTAAATCTTTCACATAATGCAATTAATAAAAATATTGATACAAATGTATTACACATATTTTGTTTAAATACGTTTTCAATTTACGAAATTTATTTTGTCTCATTTAATTGTTGATAATAAATTAATGTGAGCCATTTTAGCTCTATCTTGCGGTGGTCACAGGAAGCAAATTCAGTCGCAATTGTTTTACTAGCAGTGTTGCCAATCGACAAAGAACATATTATTCATCTATTTATCTATTCTCTCACTCATTTGAACTTTAATTTTTTAATTATTTGTTCATTCGTTTTCTTACGCTATTGTACTACAATTAAATAGGGATCCTATAGGAGGGATGCGCCATGTACATTGCTGGGGGACCGGAACTCGATTTTGCGCGCGAATGATTCAAACATTGAAATAATTATGAAATAATGAATTGCATCAAATACAGAAAAAAATGAACTATATTTAATGATAATTAAAAATTTATATTGAAATAGAATAGGTTACACGAAAAAATTATTATAAATTCAAGCGGTCCCCCAAAATTTTCAGCCAATGGCACATGAGCTGAATATGAATGGCGCATCCCTCCTACAGGATCCCTAATAAAGTACACCATGTTCTTTCAAGTTCACTTAATCTTATTCGATTACCTATCTTCTTTTAACCAGCGTGCTTAAGCAGTACCAACCTGCCTCAGCTCGCCGCATTATTCTTTTGATACGCATGCGTAAACAGTTTTTTTTTTACAAATTAAGAGCTTTTAGTTAAACAATTTAACTACAGGTGGTGCTAATGTGGTCTTGATTTTTTCACGTGTATAAATATATAATTCAGTAACCTAAACAGAAGATTTTATTTTTCTTTAAAATACAATTAATTATGTATTAATGAAATATCTAATATTATTAAAACAATGTTAACGACAAAAGTATATTTTAGAAAGACTAAAGGCGGAAATATTTTTAAGGTATAACGAATATATGTAAATAATTCTTACCACTATAATTATGCTTTTTTACATAAGATTGTGAATTTGTTTCTTTATATTATTTAGACTGTTAAGGAACACTACTTGCGGGATGATCTTTGGTGTGGTTCCAAAATCTGCAAAGAAACTTCTAACAATGTTACAAATCTTTGCAAACAAAAAGATCGAGAATGCATACTAGATGATGAAGATACCAGTGCAAAAAGCACATTTTTTTCATCACCATACTATCTTGTATTGGATACTAATATTATTTTACATCAAGTAAGCCATCCGTAATCTGTTTAATGTATTTTGTCTTTTTTTTGTTACCATTTTAATAGTAAGCATTTCATTGGTTTGAAATTATATTTGTGTATCTTTTTAGATTGACATATTGTCAGAAAATGTTTTTTACAACGTTATTATTTTACAAACTGTGTTAAAAGAAGTACAACACAAAAGTCCAATCGTTTATAAAAGATTAAAAGAAATCATTGCCGATGTTAAAAGAAGATTTTATATTTTTGTCAATGAACATCACAAGTAAGTCATTTATATTAAATATAACAATTATTTATACCATTTATGTTATAATTCATTCATTTTGTTTTATTTGCGAAGAGAAACTTACGTGGAAAGAGTACCAGGGGAAAATATAAATGATCGCAATGATAGAGCTATACGCGTTGCAACAAAATGGTACAATAAACATTTAAATGTTAACGGACATAAAGTTTTCGTTGTTTTATTAACAGACGATGCGGAAAATAAAATGAAAGCTATGCAAGAAGACATTCCTGTCTATTCTAGTAAGATACATTGTTATATTTAAACGAATGAAATTAGATTATTGTACATGTATATAATATTAAAAGAACATAACATAATTTGTGTAGTGGAAGAATACGTTCAATCATTGGAAAAGTCAAATTTTTTGCTAGACAAATTATCTAAAAGAAATTTTCAACTGGAAACAGAAGGACGAGAATTTTTTCCATGTCATTTGCCACCTTCTGAATTACATTCTGGTATTAAGAATGGAATATATTTTCAAGGAACATTTTCCGCATCGAGAGAAAATTTTCTCGAAGGAAATGTGAATGTAGATGGAATAGAAAAATCGGTAAAAAAATCTTGTTCGTAACATTTTACATATTCTATTGACAACTTATTCGTTCGTTATGTTTTTGGATTATATTAGATACTGGTGCAAGGTAGAATGGGGCTTAATAGGGCCATCGACGGTGACATCGTTGCGGTTGAACTTCTTCCAGAAGATCAATGGTCAATTCCCAGCGATATCGTATTACAAGATGAAGAAGATACAGATATACCAGACATATTAGATGATGAAAAACAATTAAATAATTTGTTTAACGTAAAAGACACCGAAAAAACCCCAACAGGGAAAATAGTAGGAATTATTAGAAGAAAATGGAGACAATATTGTGGTATCTTAAATCCAAGTATTATTCAAGGGGTAATTATATCTGTATCTGTTATATCGATAAATTGTTTTATAATTATAATTTATTTCTACGCAATATATGTTTATCACTTGTTATATATTATTTAGAATGTAAAACATCTTTTTATACCTGCTGAAAGAAAAATTCCTAAAGTAAGAATAGAAACTAGGCAATCGGAATTATTAAGTAAACAAAGGATTATAGTAGCCATAGATTCGTGGCCAAGAAATTCGAGATACCCATTGGGACATTTTGTACGCGCTTTAGGTAACATTGGCGATAAAGAAACGGAAAATGAAGTATTGCTTTTAGAGCATGATGTTCCACACAGCAGATTTTCCGATGCAGTACTTAGCTTTCTTCCAAAAATGCCATGGTCTATTCCGGAAAACGTAAATATGATTGATTTTAGAATGATAATGTTTTCCAAAATTATCTTCTAACAACTTTTTATAATATTTAGGTTATCGCGGCAAGAGAAGATTTGAGGCATTTAGACATTTGTTCCGTAGATCCACCAGGGTGTACTGACATTGATGATGCTTTACACTGTAGATTATTACCGAATGGTAATTACGAAGTTGGTGTGCACATTGCAGACGTAACTCATTTTATTAAGGTTGGAACAGCTTTGGATAAGGAAGCTGCCTTAAGAGGTACTACAGTCTATCTAGTTGACAAAAGAATCTCCATGATACCAGGTACGGAATCTAATGTATTGATGGTTCGGAAAGTCGTTTCGTTTTTCTTTTGTAAAAATGAAGATAATTTTTGCTTCGAGGTTAAACCTAAACATTTCAAGTGGTTATAAATAGTTGAATTTGATAAATTTAACCTCTCATCGATCTCATGTGTTACTATTTGTAGGTTTGCATAAACTAATGCCATTATTGCGTTAGCAAAAAACGAAACGATTTTCTGAACCACCTAATACTTGTTTTATAATATATAATCTTTTACAAAAAATAAAAATGTATTATTATTCTTAGATTATTGATATTTTTATTTAAATATATTTATTTATATTTATATCTATACAGAACTACTAAGTAATAATTTGTGCTCTCTAAGAGAAAATGAAGATAGATTAACATTTTCTTGTATATGGGAAATGGACTCTGAGGCAAATATCATAAATACCAAATTTTGTAAGTCAGTAATTAAATCACGTCGTGCCATGACTTATGAAGAAGCTCAAATTAAAATCGATGACGTCAATCAGAACGATGTAATTGCCGAATCATTAAGAAATTTAAATAATTTTGCAAAAAAATTGAAGAAAAAACGAATGGACAAAGGGTAAGAGAGAATATATACATTGTTTCTCTCTCTCTCTCTCTCTCTCTTTCTCTCTCTCTCTTTCTTAAACGTATTTGAGATGATAAATTTTAATTTTCAGGGCTTTGACTTTGGCATCACCAGAGATCTATTTGCGAGAAGATAACGAAACTCACGAACCGATTGATGTACAAGTAAAAAAATTAAGGGATACAAACTTTATGATCGAAGAATTCATGTTACTCGCGAATATTTCAGTTGCTCACAAAATTTTTGCGGAATTTCCAGAATGTGCGATGCTTAGAAGACATCCTGAACCATCGCAAAAAAATTTTGAACCATTGATTAAAGCTGGAAAAAATCAGGTAAGATAATAAATTAATTATATATAAACTTACATATATATTTCTTCATACGTATTTTCTGTATCTATTATAATAGGGTTTTGTAATAAATACAAATAGTGGAAAAGAATTAGCTGAATCATTAGATAAAGCGCAAAAGGAAGATAATCCTTATTTTAATACTATGTTGAGAATTTTGGCAACAAGATGTATGTTGCAAGCAGTATATTTCATCAGCGGAATGCACCAACAAAATGAATTCTATCATTATGGATTAGCTTCACCAATATATACGCACTTTACATCACCTATCCGTAGGTAGGTATTATGTTAAATATCTATTTTTCATCTTTAGATATATACATCATATAGTGTAATTTAATTCACTAAATCAATGATACCATTACATTTGATTTTATTTATTTGTAGATATGCGGATATTATCGTACATCGTCTCTTAGCAGTATGTATTGGAGCAGACGTTACTTATCCAGAATTATTGGATAAGCAAGAAAATCATAAATTATGTTCTAATTTAAACTATCGAAATAGGATGGCACAGTATGCTGGTCGAGCATCAGTTGCATTAAATATTCATGTATGTATACATTATTAGCATAAAAACATATATATATATATATGCATATACTAATTATTTCTATCGTTTAGTTATTTTTCCGAGAAAAAGTCAAAGATGAAGAAGGATATATTCTTTTCGTACGAAAAAATGCACTACAAATATTAATTCCAAGATATGGTTTAGAAGGGACATTGTATTTAAACAAAACTGAATCATCTGTTAATTTTATATATAACCGAGAGGATCATTCTCAGTCATACGAAAATATAACATTTCGAACATTTGATCCTATTGTAGTGCAGTTAAGTTTAGATAGATCGAACGTTCAACATGAAAAATTGATTTTCAAGCTTGTTAAACCAGAGGTAAATATTAAAGAAAAAACAATACAAAGTATATCTAGGAACGATCATTTAATTCCACTTATTTTTTCAAAATTTTTTAAAATATATTTTTCATTTGTAATTACAGATTCCAGGTTTCAGTGTTCCTCCAATAAAACAGGAATTAGTTGAACAACAACCCATTTCTAACGTAGAAATAAACGAAGCAAATGCAACGGAAAAAAGAAAAAGTTCAAATGTTTTACAAAAGAAACAGAAGAAAAAAAAGAGGAACTAAATTGAATAAAATATATATTTTTTTAAAATTATGAGTATATTTTTATCCAAAAAATATATACACAAATTGTAATAAATATTTATAATAATTATGTATGTGATGTTATATCGTTATTGCTATTATTATCGTACTTTTACATATATTTTGGCCATAGATATCAAAATCAAGTTTTAAGAAAATCCAACTGGAATATTATTACATCAAACAAACAAAAAGAGAAAACATCGACTTTTTTCGAATAAATGTTGATGACCGAATTATTAATCTAAAAATAAATATTCTTTTTAAAAAAGTAATTTAAACGATTTGATCGTTACGATAAATATTTATAATAATTGTAAATCATAGCAATAGAAAGGGAAACAGGTAATAATATGTTCGAAGGAGTTTTGTACATATAGAATGTGAAACACGTCGTATTGCGTTATTAGACGATAACCATTAGTTATTAGGGTCGATTGACAAGAATAACTCGACGTAAGGACCATGTTAAAAGACTCGTTAGAGTGTGCGTGCGTATATACAATAGTAATCACGGTCTTCCGAACGTCGTTGTTCATCGTTATTCACGGACTCTAGACGCATCAAGAGTGTCAGAACAAATTTACTTTTACTAACAGATCTTTTGATGCTTGTCCTTGATATCGTTTACTCTATCGAAGGTATTTCATTTAGAATTTGGTGTATCTTTTTGGCTTGCAAGATCATTCAAAGTCGTCTTTATACTTGTCCAGGCAATATTCGCTCTTATTCTTATCAATGTATTGAGTGACAGCAATGAAGTTGATGCATTTTTTACTTTGGCATTATCTTGCATAGTGGTAAGTATTTAAATTAATAAAATATATTTTAGATTAGAAAGAAATTTTAGCGATTTTTCAAATAACTATTAAAAGAATATTAAGATTACGTATATAGCGAAATAATGTTACATATAATATTTATTATTCTACTATTAATATTATTATTAAAATAGTATTATAATAAGTATCATATCAAATTTGAAAATATAATTAATATTGATTTTGCGTGATTGTGTAGTAAAATTGTGTATGCGTGGGTTGAAAATACGTTAAAAAGTATAATTTTATACGATTGTTATAAAGTTGTGTCTTATCAGATGAGTGGGAGCAGAAATTCTAAGGTCAAATGGTCGGACGACTATTTTGCAAATTATCAAATAATTATTTAATGAAATATTTATTAATTGTAAAAGATTACCGCATGCGCATACATTATCATTTTCAATGAACCATTACTACAACCCTTATATTTAATTGTTCATCTATAATTTACAATGTTATCTAGATTAAAAAATAGTTTAAATATTTTTTACAAGATATTTATCCTTGTCAAGCAAAACTCGTCAAGCTTGTAATAAATCATTAAAATTGATAATTTTTTTTTTTAAAGTAAAATGAGGGCAAACAATACGAGTCGATACAACGACGAAGATTTTTTCAGCGATGGTGGCCCTTGCCCAACTTGTCGACTTGCTATTAACGAAGAAACCGGTAGACTAAAGTGCGTAGTTTATGAAGTTAACTCTCGATTTTTTTGTTCTTTATTAATTTTTCTTCTTTTTTTCTTCCCTCCCCCAATCATCATTCTTTCAATACATCAGATGGTGCACAGAAGGCGATGATACTTGGCGATTTCGCGTTAGATTAATGTTATTGATTCCTGCGGTGTTATTACCGATCATTATAATTTTCATAGCTTTATCGCGATCACAAATTACCGATAAATTAGCTCATCACCGTACATTTAGTCCGATTCGCAATTCTCAAGAACAGACGAAGAATAATTTTGTTGAAAATCATAATGCCTTGGTCCGATCATCCGAGAGCAAAGAAATACAGCAATCTCTTGATGGAAATGAAGATGAAGATGAAATTCGTATCTCCGAAATTCAGACAAGTTACGTACCGCCAAACGTTCATTTTTTAATACAATCTTCGAAACGACGCAAGAGGCATACGGATGCGGTAATGTGCATATATTGATATATTATAAATTTATTGTGAAATACATTTTATAATAGAAATTCGGCTAAAATTAGATCAAATCTCATTTGGTATTTATTCATTTATTTATTTATTTTATTTACATTAATTTATCTTTTTTTTTATAGGAAACGACGTTGAAAAAGAGTAACGATTACAATGCTATCAAATCGATCGATGAAATACGCGAGAGAATCCTACCTAAGGAAAACAAACAAATAGTTGTAAGTAGGAAATAATGATATTAGGAAAAAGTTAGCAAATCACATATTGTAGCGAAGTTTGAGATTGATTTTAACGCAGATAGCTAGTGGTGGGGTCACTCAGAAAAAGCACATCGCAGGTACGTCGAACGACGAAATGGATTATTTTCTACTTGATTATAATCCAGAATTAGAATTTGACGAGCCCTATGCATACAGCGATATACAGGATTATGAAGATTACTCGAAGTTGGTACATCCTTTTCTCATTTTCATCCTACGTTTATGTAGCAGCCTTTCTAATCGCATTCTGCGTTCTGCGTTCTGCGTTCTACGTTATTTGTTCCACGTGAAGAGAGGAAAAGACAGCTGCGGAAGAGAGAGAACAATTAGATTTCAAATCATCGAATCAAAAATATCGGAACATTAAGGATGAGAGGGATGAACGATCGCACGAACGGATGATCGATCATACCGAGCGAATTAGCACTTATTCCGTTTCTATTGGCAACGTTTACAGAAGATGGCCTGATAATTACGATCATCGCAATAAACACGATTCAACAGATTTCCATGCTTTTTGGAAAGACGAAGGCAACGCGAAAAGCATCAGAGAGGCCCAAGGTATGCAAAATATTGCATTTTTTCGCATATTGCGTTTTTATATTATTAACAACTGACGCTTATCTATTTTAGCAAAAATAATGTTAGAATATATGGATAAAACTGCCAATCCGTGTCACGATTTTTATCAATACGCTTGTGGAAACTGGGAAAAACGTAATCCCATTCCAAAGGACAAGGCAGCCTACGATACCTTCGAGATGTTAAGAGAATCGTTGGATATTGTTTTGAAAGAATTGCTCGAAGATGAAGTTCCACCTAACGTTCAATTAAATACCGACGATGCAACGGTCAAAGCAAAGTATCATTTTCAGAGTTGTATGAATTACGGTCAGTTCAAATAAACCTAGATAAAGTATTCATTTCCCGTGTTTAAACGATTAAATGCATTAATCAAATGTGCCTAGAGATCTTGGAGCAGCGTATGGAACAGCCGGTGCTACAACTTTTAGAGGAACTCGGTGGCTGGCCTATCTTGAAACCTGATTGGGATGCCGATAAATTTGACTGGTTGCTTTTGGTCGCACAGTTGCGTCTATACAATAATAATATTCTTATTTCCGAATGGGTTGGTCCAGATATTAAAAACAGTGACCAATATGTTATACAGGTGGGAATCGGATGATACAAGAGACTTTAAATTTTGCTGATTATTTAAATATAAGTATAAATATGTAATTATTTGATATTAATGTTTTCTTCGATTTTTCTCGCAGTTTGATCAAACGTCCCTTGGTCTTCCTACAAGAGATTATTTTCTTCAACCGTCGAATATGATTTATTTGAATGCTTATAAAAATTATTTCATTAAAATTGTAACCCTTCTTGGTGCTTCTTTGCAAAATGCTACTGTTCATGCAAATCAATTGATAGAATTTGAAACAAAACTCGCAAAGGTATAATAATATTATTATGAATAACTCACATTGTATAAATGATATATGCATATGCTTGTCAAATGTTCTTGCATTTACATAAATATATATAATTCATTATTATGAATATTTTTCTCATAGATTACATCTTCGCCGGATGAAAGGCGAAACGTTTCTGAGCTTTATCAAAAAATGACCATTGCTGATTTGATATCGATTGTCCCTCAAATTGATTGGCACAAATATCTATCGATCGTTTTAGCTCGGCCTGTGGATAATTCTGAATCGGTTGTTGTATTTGCGCTACAATACATTCAAGATTTGGTCTATTTACTCTCAGAAACCGAACCAAGGTAAAATATTGAAATGAAAAACTGCTATCCGTTCTTACTAACGGATACTCATTAACAAAATGTGAAATTTTAACTTAACTTATTGTCTATCGTTTTATTTTTTTAGAACTATAGGAAATTATCTTTTATGGAGATTCGTACGACACAGAGTAAACAATTTAGACGATCGATTTCAGGAAGCTAAACAAAATTTTTATTATATTCTCTTTGGAATAGAACAAGCTCCTCCTAGATGGAAGAATTGTGTATCACAGGTCAATGCCAATATGGGTATAGCCGTTGGTTCAATGTTCGTTCGAAAGTATTTTGATGAAAAGAGTAAGAATGACGTAAGTTATTTGATCATGTGAAAAAATCTTAATTATACAAAATAAAAAATAAATATACCACTTTTTGTAGACATTATCCATGACACGAGAGATACAACAATCGTTTAGGGAATTATTGAATCAAACTTCGTGGATCGATAAAGAGACGAAACGATTGGCTAGCGAAAAAGTTGATGCTATGCTTTTAAGAATTGGTTATCCAGATTTTATATTGCAACCATATTTATTAAATGAACGTTATAAAGATGTACGTTGTTTACATTTACTTTCGATTGCATTATCCTGTAGAAGATGCTATTAATATAATATTCTAATCTACTTTGGTTTGATATACTCTTCAGGTTGTAATCCATCCAGAAAAATACTTTGAAAATACGTTAAATATTTTACAACACTTGACAAGAGTGGAACAAGATCGTCTTGGGAATTCAGTTAATAAGACTTTATGGAATACCGCACCCGCAGTCGTCAATGCCTATTACAGTCGCTTCAAAAATCAGATAAGTCAGTCCCCTTTTTAATATTATCTCATTTTTTTATTAGATTTTGTTTGCACCAATTGGCTTTTTCTTCAAACGTCCATTCTTATGGACGCAAGACATTTAATTATAAAAGTACGTAGAACCTGGTCTTTACGCGTTATAAGTCATAATCCCGTATACGGTCACAAATTCAATAGAAGAATGCCAATAAAATTTAGCACATTTCTCATTTATTTACTTGCTCCCCCATCTCAGTGTTTCCAGCGGGCATACTACAGCCGCCCTTTTATCACAGATACTTTCCAAGGAGCTTGAATTACGGAGGAATCGGTGTAGTGATAGGCCACGAAATTACTCATGGTTTCGACGACAAAGGGAGATTATTCGATAAGAATGGTAATCTACACAGATGGTGGAAGAATGAAGATATTAATGGCTTTCACGAAAGAGCAAAATGTCTTATTGGTAAAATATTCATTGGTATCTCATCAATATTTAATCCATCTAGAAAATACTTCATTATCGATAAAAAAGTTCAGCTATATTTCAGACCAATATAGTCGCTATACAGTAAGCGAAGTTGGCGCACAAATCAATGGCATGAATACGCAAGGAGAGAATATCGCCGATAATGGTGGTATCAAACAAGCATTTAGGGTAAATACTTGTTCTCTTTGAAATATGATGGATGTTATAAGAAATATTGATACATATTAAAAATAAATTAAAATGACGATATAGGCTTATGAAAGATGGTTGTATTTAAATGGCGACAAGGATGAGACTCTGCCTGGTATCAGCGCGACCGGAAAACAATTGTTCTTTTTAAATTTTGCTCAAGTTTGGTGTGGTTCAATGAGACCAGAAGCTGCTAAAAATAAATTAAGAACTGCTGTCCATGCTCCTGGAAAATTTCGCGTGATTGGTACGTTGTCAAATTCAAAGGCTTTCGCGGAAGTTTTCCATTGTCCTCTTGGTACACCTATGAATCCTGTCAACAAATGTTCAGTTTGGTAACGTAGCAGTAGACAATTATCCAAAGTAAATTTTCAAAATAGATCATAGATTGCTTTTATCAATATATCAATATATTTTGCAATAAGTTATCCTTTATTCAATGGGAAATATATTTATTAATTCGATGTAGTTCGCGTTTATTTTAGAAACCAAATGAATGTTAAATTAAAAGAAGAGTAAAAAAACAAATAGAAAAAAAAATAAGCAAGTTTTCTTTTACATTTCATTAGAAAAGCAACGAAATCACTTATTTTATGTCTTCAACAATGCGCTCATTCATTTATATTTTCTCTTCTTTAATATTATACTTTTTTCTCTACTAATGTTTACAATTTTGTACGAATAATGAAAAAACATTCCATGTCGCTAATGAAATATATTCTATACACGTTATTATAATGTTAATTACTTTATTACGTAATACTCACAGCGGTTCAAAAACGCACGAGTTGTTTCCACGCAAGTTATACACATAAAGAATTTTAGGTAAAAACAATAAAAAATTTATATACATTCCTTTATAAATAAATATAATATGTATATCTATATGTGTTTATATATGCGTATACATATAAGTGAGTTTTCCATGAGTTTTCAGTATGCGCACTTAAAAAATCACTTTTACGACTCATTAAAAATCGGAATGAAGTATGTCTGCTGTCTGCTGTATGTATGCTTATGTACGTAAGGGCTGGCTACATAGATTAGTCCGAAATATTTTCTTTAGTTTTATCGTAACTAATTCTTTTTGTTGCACTTTTAAAATTCGTTCGAAATTGTTGTAATATCACAATTAATTTTAATGCTACAAGATGTTTTCCATCTTGGAAAATATATCGTTTATACGTGTATAAATCGTCCGTTCACATTCTGTAAATTTGATACTTTTGTTTTATTACGATTTTTTTTTCTACGATGGGCTTTAATTATATTGTCGTATATGCAAACAATTTATACATAGTTGTATTCGTGAATTTATCAAATGTTTTTTTATCATTTTACATCAAAAATCTCTTCTTGTTTATAAATTGAAAAAGAAAATAACTAAGATTTAACGATGCATATATAGCATTTGAATTAATTTGAAAAGAAAAATTACTCTCTAATAATGAAAAGCTACAGAAGTATAATTATTAATAATAATTGATGAAAATTATGAGATTTTTCAAACGCGTTATTAAACAGAGGAGTCAGTACTGGATGTACTTATAAAAATTAATAAGCTCTATCGATCTGCACGTATTTGCAGTAATTTGTAATATATATATACTTATTATATATATATTTATTCCTTAAATATATATACGCATATGCGTCGTATATGTATATAAAGAATACTGCATAAATAATACAACCCCTAGTATTGCAAATGCTTTGTATGAATTAACACAAACCGTAACAACATTTCAAAAAAGGACACATTTGTCACATAGAGATTTCAATGACCTTAACTCTATTATGTATAGACATTATAAACCGTTATTACATGAGCTTGGACATTTTACCTTCTACAGCATTTTATCAAAATTGGCCTATTAAATATATAAACATATGTTTCGCGTGTGCTACTTCCGTCCATTTAATAAAACGACGTAGAATTATATCATAACTTCCTGTTTACGTCTATTAATGTCATTACGTATACGTATTACGTTATAACAAATATCTTCACTTATGCAGAAACTGGTACTCCAAAATGTCTTCTTCATCTGTAAAGAATAAAAATATTTCATGTTCCAAAGTATGTAATGTCTCATATCTACTGCACTGAAAGGGCGCTATACACTTAAATACACACACATTCTGTTGCAATTATGTTTGTGCAATGATAATTCATAAATATTATCTATCAAAGTGTGTATATAATAATAATAATAATAATACAAATGCAAACATATCAAATGCTAAACATCAACGGTGCAAGAAATTTTGTTTGTTTGCTCGTTCGTTCGTTCGTTTTTTTTTCTCGTCGAAAAATACTATCCTCTCTGTAAATTTTAAAATAATCGTTTGATTTCAAGATAACGGTCTATACCGAGATTATTTTAACACAAATATCCAAACCTTTTAATTTTGTAATCATTCTATATTCTTTAATGGAATGTAAAAGAAAATATGAAAATAAAACTACACTCACAAATATTATCTCTGGTATTGTTGTCCAAATTACTTGTCCGCGTGCGACATTCTTCGTGCATACGTCACCCTGCATAAACCATCAGCGCAGCACAAGGCACAAAAAGGACTCTATTATGTCTTTGACATAATAATCATCCATATGCATACAACAGCAATCAGAAAGTAAATTGAGTCGCTATCAATTTTCAAAAGAAAAAGCAGTCGCGACCTTTTAGAGCAGCAGAAGTGAAAAACAAAAGTTAAACCAATGATATGTCTGCGAACCACAAAATATATAAATAAAATACAATGAGTTTAAAATAACAAGATATTTCAATAATATTCCTCATATAATTATTTAATTAATTTATAAAAGAGTGAAACTCTTTAGGTGCTCAGACATATATCAAACCTGTCAGCAACATCAAATATTTTTATATTTTACAATGATTAATAATAATAATAATAATATGATAATATTGACGAAGAACTTTTGTAATTAGTTTTTACGTTACATACGTATAGATAAAGATGCATAATTTTTTAAATTAAAACGTTTCATTTGACTATGCAATTTTCCATATAAGTTACAATGTGTTTATAATTAATTAATGTTTTACCGTTATTAACTACCGTATTAATAATTCACTTATAAAATCTTCTACAAATTTTTATATACGTTTGACGTCATTGATTATGATTCGTTAAGCAATTTTTTGTCTCTATATCTACCATATATACATGTATATATATATATATGTATACCCGTTTATAAATGGGTTTTTAAAGTATGCCGAGAAACATGCTGTAAAATCTAGAATTAAAGATCATTCAAATTCAAATAATATTTAAGAAAATTATGCGAAATATGCTCATTTAGAAAGTATTTTTTGACTTAATCAAAATTCGAGTATAATAATGAAGTTGTCTTTGAAAAATTGCATAGAGTGGATTTTACAAAATTGTTCTTCATATCATGGAAACAACAAATACATAAAATTTGCAATAACATATATAATATATGTTGAACGAATTCATAAATTTGAAGAGAAAATGTATTCTAAATACTATGCAGTGCATGAAAAAGAATCAGCAATACTGTAATATAATTTTCAAGTGAACACAATTGTATATACAATATTTAAATTCTAGGAGTATGCACAAAATCATATTTTCAATCATGTTGTTTCTTTGTTTAAATGCACAAGGTGTATAATAAATAAATTTTGCATAACAATGAAAAAAAAATGTAATCAAAAATATTTCTTACAAGATGGAATTAATAAGTGCATACACCTGAAAAATGTGTACAAGTTTTCTAGTTTCCTTGCACTTTTAACATGAATAAGATGGCACATTTAATACGAGAATAATGATTTAACCTTATATACACATTATTGAACCTTTCATGGTGTAATACCAAATAATAGATAATACGTGAACAGCTTTTTCCATTCAAATAATTTTAGGTGTTTGTAATAAAATAAAAGCGTGTAACACGTAACAATAATAATGATAATAATCATAATAATAATCATAATCAATCATAATCATAATCATAATCAATCATAATCATAATCAATCATAATCATAATCAATCATAATCATAATCATAATCATAATCATAATCATAATAATCATAATCAATCATAATCATAATTATAATCATAATCATAATAATAATAATAACAATAATAATAATAATAATAATAATAATAATAATAATAATCATAATAATAATAATAATAATCAAACGATGCATCAACTATTGCATAATGTGCCTTCATAAATTCGGCATATGCCTGACTTCACACATTTTTCATCATATAAAGATTCTTTAAGGCAACAGTTGGTGAATCGTTCAGTACATGGAATAGTGTATTGTTGATTTTAAAGGAATAGTTGGCCCATTGTCGTAGACAGTCCTAAAATGCAATGAATGGAGAAATATTAATATTATTACAGACCATTTATTACACACAGGTACACATGCACTATATGCTATGAACAACTTATTTTGACATACATTTTTGTCAATAGTGTTATTTTTGTGATCATGCTTGTGCTCTATATTTTGTGCTATCATGCTTTTGAAAGTAAAATTACTTTAAAGATTAAAGCGTATATCACTGACTATTTACTACAGAAGAAATGTATGTCCAGTGATAAATAAGTAACTAAAAAATATTTCAATTTTGATTATTGTTACTGTACTAATAGAAAAATAGGCCGTTTGTATATAATATATTCAATGGATTTTGACAGTCATACATTAATGAAGAAATAAATATAGACATAAACATGAAAAGTCAATTATTAAAAAAATTTTTAGCAAGAGATTGGCTTTAAATTACATAATATCTTTATAGATTAATAATAATCTAATAATGTCCAAGAAAATGGCACTCATCTCGAATCGAAATGTTACGTTTACATTATGATTATACCGAGTTTTAGTCTACTACATAAAAATAAACTACTAATACATCACCCTGGTTAACAACTATGTATTATACTGGTTATATCTTCATCCAATCTACACAAAATTTGACAGTAAATAGAACATCTGTCAAAATCTACTTAATTTTAAATTTGTTTGCCACTTTTCCTTCTTCTTACTATATTATTATTACTATTACTATTACTACCATTGCCGTTATTATCGTTACTATTGTCGTTTTGTTGTTAATATAGTTACTATCAATGTCAGTATTGTTATTGTCTTTAAAAAATAAGTTTAATCTATTCATATAATTAATACTAGTATCAACATTAATTGATATAAATTTCTAAATATTTCAACTTAAAAATAAAAAAAGTATTAATAATTTAAATATCCTTTCGCGAGAAAGGCGCGAAAATCATTTTATATTATACTTTCAGCTTAATCTTGAAGTTTTGTTGTACTATTTAATTATTTGTAGAAAATATTTTAGACAATAGAACCAATAAAAGACTGAGAGATATCGTTGACATGACTTCAAATTTGTTTAGATTATTTTCAAATCGTCAAAGATACATATAATATATCGTACTATTCCAAGAAGTTATTACGTAAAAGGATATTATTAGTATTTACATTTATGTAATACATGCAAACATTGAAATAAAAATGTGTTAAATATATTTAAAATAAAAAATTTATTGCAGAATAGTGTGCAAACGGAATGCAAATGTGAATTATTACACGTGGTGAATAATTTCCAAAATATTGCAGGCTATATTTTCCAAATGAATGAATGCTATACTATCATGCAAGGAATGATATTGATCATAACTATACTAATAGATAGATGTAGTAATTAAAATGTATAATGTATTAACACAAATCGTAAAAAACATCTTAAATCAATATTCAAAGTACAAGCCACACAATGTTAAATTGATATATGTACATATATAGATATATATATGTATATATATGCATATATATATAATCTTGTACTTATTATTAATTCATGACATAAGATGATATCGCATAACATTCTATCATATCCTATATTCTCAGTCAGATTTATAAATTATCTATTTACACGATACTAGCATCTACATAACATCGACAAAAAATTCACAAGGATTGCCCATCGCAATACGAAATGACTGTCTACTACCAGATAAGTCTTGTTGATTTTGTTGAGTTCCTGAACCAGTTCCTGTCTGTACCGATTGTTCGGACCCACTGGACCGACTATGGCTTCCATTAGACCTTTTACCATTCGAACCATTCCCATTACCAGAATTCTTACTTGGCATACTTGGCACAGATGGGATATGTAATTCTGATTCAGATGCTGAAGAACAAGACTTCAAGTCGTGGATAGGTTCCTTACAAATATGTTCACTACCTGCACTGCTACCACCTAATAAATCAATTAATAGCCGTATAATCGGCAGGATAAAATTTTCACCATCATATAAATGTATGATACATAACATGTAGCTAATATTCTATAGATCGTATGTAAAATAGAACCTTGCTATAAATGATAAATTTGAATTAATAATAAATCTTACCTGAACCACTATGAACACTTTCTTCTCTGTGATATCCATATACAGTTGGTTCGTTAGTAAAATTAAATGGCATTGGACTGTAACCAGTCGCAGAATGAGGTGCATATGTCCCTGAGTAAGGCATGTCCCAAGCATTAGGAGGTGGTAAAGGTCCAACCGTGTCACAGTCCAATTTCATGCTGCTCATAGCAGAACACAAATCACCAAATATGTAATAACATTGTTCGGAAAACGTGATCTTGTTCACAGTATGTCTGATGAATCCAGCTTTTAGCATCAATGATGCGTATTTTCTGGCTTCACGACGATCAATAATTCCTTCTACGTGTGTGCTAAGCCAATCAACAACATCTGCCCCAATAAATGCGTTCGGAATTGTTATTTTAAGCCACATGCGATCACGAATTTCTAGACCCGAATCAGAACGTGCCATAGCACGTACTATTGTTGGCATATCTGTATTAATGGTAAGGTGGAGTTCCTCTAGTGGTCCTATTAACAAATTATAATAATAAATATTGTAAACACTTGTCTTGACTACCTAATATTAACCCTTTGCGATCGGATGCCATTGTGATAGATTACTATATAGACAAACGTGTCGATAACAAAGGGCTAATACTTCTCAATTCACTTTTAATTGCATATTTTAAATATATAATGTTATTGATATGAAAACTTACGTTCTGTATCAGGTAGAGTACTAGCAAGACTACTCGATGTGGATGTTAATGTTGTTGCACTTGGTGGACGAGGTGGGAAACCTTCGCCTCGTATAGCTGCTGTATGTGCCACCCATGCACCTGGATCTATAGGACGCACCGGCTCTGTTCTTGGTATGGTAAAATAACCTTTTGGATTTGGATCCCAACATTTAGCAACAACTAACTTGATTGGTCTGAAACAAAATGAAAAAGAAATTTATACATAATTATTATAAAACTACGATATATATTTTATTATCCTTGCAAATATCTTGTTTTTTGATAAAATAGAATGTACATATTTCTTATTGAAATTATTATAAATAAGTTCTCTCTTACCCTGGTTTTTGGACGACTTCACGTAGAACTCTTACCGCTTCGTCATTAGACATGTTCTCAAAATTAATGTCATTAACTTGAAGAATCATATCACCGGGTTCTATTCGGCCATCTAAGGCTACAGCTCCCCTATATAAATTAATAAATTCATGGAAGAATACTCAATCAAGTGCACATGCTTGTTAATATATAGAATATTAACGCTCTGTTCTCATATGAATAATACAGAGAATTATAACATCATTTGCATATATCAATTTCTCCATAATAATGCATAACGATGATACCCATGTATTTAATAGGTAAATACAATTTTATAGTGCATTTGATGCAAAGAAATAATATTTCTATACAAAATACGAATTTTTAAAAGAAAATAATCTAATTAAATAACGCTTAATTTTTTAAGTATCATACCCTTTCATTATAGATCCAACATAAATTCCTCCATCTCCACCCTTGTTACTTTGGCCAACGATACTTATTCCAAGGAAATTTACAGTATCCATATTTAATGAGACCGTTATGATATTCAAAGACATTGTGCTATCTGTGATACTGCTAAATGAAGATGTTCGAGACATAGGAGGTAATCTGTGTCTTCTTCTTCTTTGAGGTCTACGTCGATCTAACGTAAAAAAGATTAATATGAAAATATATGTAGGTAAACAAATTTATAAAAGTAATTGAAATAAAACGAAAACGAAATAAAAGATTCCATTAAAATGTAAAAGATATTACATATTAACCTAAAGTTGCTCTGTCAACTGCACTACTCATATTAGTATGACGACCTGTTGTCGATGTAATACGACTACTCGCATCATCGTCCGATTCTAAAAATGTTGTCGTTTCCAAATCTGAGCTCAATATTGAGGCTGTTTCATAGCCATGACCGGAACGATGCTTAGAATGACCATTTATTCGCAATCCTATAGAAAATACCCAAATTGATTAAATTAAATTGATATACAATCAATTTAAGTCTATTTTTTATCGAATATATTCTTCTCAAATTATATTTATATATAAAAATATGACACAAACCATTGTATTTATTATATTTTTCATATTTGTCTGTATGATGTCTTGAACTTTTATGTAAATGATGACCTTGTCGGCTACTTATAATACTTTCAGTTTCTGTTAAGGTATCATCGTGCGAAAGCGGTGGTGGACCACGATTTGTATGACCTGGTGTTACATGATCAATGCGATCGTGCTTTACTTCACTATGTGCTACAGAATCAGTGCAATGTGAAACTCCATCCGACACATTACTGCCCTCAGCAGAAACCAACTGTTAAAATAAATCATTAATATTTTAAGATTGAATAATATATGCATTTATTTATATATATGCTACGTATATTCTGTCAAAAGAGATTAATACATATATCTTTATAATATGTAATATATGTTGATCCTATTTTAATAAATAAGATAGGTAAAAGCGATTGATGTTAATATTCAATGATACTCTACAAAAAGTCAATAAATAATTCATTCTAATGTTTATAACATACGTGACGCATCTATCAAGGTATATTTAGTTTATGTAGGCGCGCGCGCATGTATAGAAGTGTTACCTCGTGTCTTTTATAGTATCTTTAGAGATTACAGTGGTTTTTAAAATAATCATTTAGATAGAGATCTCTTACCCATGAGACTACTCGTCCATTGAAGCATGGAAGATGTGCATCGTCGTCTACAATCTCCTCTTTTACAACCCTATAGTACAAAAATAAAATAGAAAAAATGAAAAAATTGATCGCATACGCAAGAGAGTATATAAATAATGATATTTTAATCGAAATAAAGTTTGTTATTGGAGCATATTAATAAAATAACAAAAAAAAGGTATATGTAAATAATTTAGAAAGATTATCCATTTAAAAAGAGGTAAATAATTGAACAAGGATTAAATAAAAGTATCGCACATATTGCATATATGTATGTGCGTGCATACAATTCGATCTTGAAATAACACATAAAGCGCGTATCTTTCTAATGGCTTAACATTTATCTAAAAATTATAAAAGTATATCGAATATAACGTTTTAAAATTAAGGAATCGACAAAATGTATTTAAATATACGTCTGAATTATATTCTATTAAAGATGTTTATATCAATTGAACACCAACCCGAAGTCATCGTCCATTGATTTGAAGAAATACTTATAATTCGGTCGGTTGAGGACATTTTTAAAATCTGCCAAAGTCACCCTCTCCGGCGAAATAGTCAGTTTAACCAAATAAGGTGTCTCTTCGTCGTCAATATGGTAAATTATTTTGGTTTCCTCCATGATTTGAAATAAATAATTCTACGTTGATTTGATAGAAAAGTTGTATCAGTCAGGCCCCCATTAACACGAGCAATTGTCTTAAACCAATATGGCGCGTTGCAGTTAGAGCCAAAGCCCTCACGCGCATCGAGTTTTGTAGTAGCATATAGTCATTAAATAGACACACCAAGCACCCTTTATTAAAACATTCCAATATGCAAATAAGTCACTAAAATCTATTCCTTATTATTCCACTAATTATTTTTTTTTTACTATTCATAGCTTCCGTATCCTTCAAATAAACGTCAACACTCCTGCCGACGTAATCACTACAGCGAACCTTCCATCGCGCCCCCACTTTACTTCTATCACCTAAGAAAATCCGCTGATGGTGCTGCAATCGTTCCCAAAGAAACAAGATAAGAACGGAAACTAACGTTTAACGCTTTTTTTTAATCAATTATCAACGTTTTGACGTTGACTTACATTATTTTCGTTAAAATCAAAGATAGAAACTTTATTCTCTTTCATACGCGACGTATCTAAGTAGTAAAGTATACTATAGTACTAATCGATAAAACATATTGTAATTGTGTAGGGAATTTGGTGTTGCAATCGCTGCTGTGCCCGCTAATATACCTTCATGTTATTTCATTACAATACACACCAGTGATTGATTGTGCGCGTTGAATGTTTTATATTTGAGATAAATTGTTTTTTCGTTCCTTCCTATGCAAAAAGATATTCAAATAAATTTACAGATGCTTACAATTACAGATGCTCATTAAAGGAGATATTTTTTTTTTCTTTCTTTTTTTATCATCGTTTTATTTTTATTTTTAACTACTTTATTTGTTAAATTCCGTATGTATATTACTTACTAGTTTCCAAGTCATATAACGCTAACTGTATTAAATGCTAAATTAACTAAATATGTTTTATTTAGTTCTATTTTAATAACTTGAACTTATTTCTTTAATGTCTTCAATTCTTCCAATTATTTTTCTGCAATAAAAATGGTTATACACATATATTTCTATGTGAATATGTATACATATATACCAACGTTTAAATCTTAGCAATTTATAGATTTTCTAAATATAATGTTTTACCTATGATTATTTGAAAATCCAAATAGTAGCTAGAGGATTGCACTAAACTAGAAGTCCACACGACACATTGTACTGTCAATAGTCTATTTGCTGCAAAATATTTCATTATATATTAGAAATATTTTTTTAATTACAGTTGATTAATGATATTAAAAGTAAAATTACGTGTCAGATTTGGAAATTTTAGAGCAACAATAGGAGATACGTAATCTTTTTGTCCCCTAAATGGAAAATATTCAATGGGAAAGCCAGGATTAGGAATATATTCAATCTTTCCTATATGTTCCTTGTCTATATTGTCTACTCCACTGCAAGATAACCAAATGTAAACCTGATATTGAAATAATATCAAGATATAATCAAAATCAAATATTTATATTTGTATCTTATCTAATAGATATTAAATATCATACTTGTTCCGATTTCTTAATGATATTTTTCAACAGATTTGGCATATTATGTGGTAACACAGAAGACCGATTATAATAACGTGGAATCCAATCAAGTCTCTATAATGCGCGACATTAAATATCGATAAATATTTATATTGTGTATATATCAATGCAGTAAATAAAGAGTAATAGTAAATTGAGCTTATAATTGTGATAATATTGGAATTTACTTTATTGAATTTAATTAGAACACAAGGTTGAATTGGTGTAGTATATCCGTAAGGAGGTTTACTACAAGTACCCAAACTCTTTATATCGAAAAAACAAGGCTTTAACTTATTATCTACTCTCAATTCACCCTTATTGCATTTTAATTCTTGATGGGAGGTATTCATTTTATAATCTGTATAACATGGTTTAACATTAAAATTCTTCGTATATACATATATAAATATGTTTAGCAAATTTCATAAGCATGTATACCTTTTAAAAAGTCTGTTAAAGCTTGAGCATATCGTTTGGATCGAGCATTTTTGTCTTTTTCGCTTATCCAAATGATCGGTGAAGTAAGAGGTAATGGAATGTTTGGTTTGTAATCAATTCCTGAATAAAATGTTAAAAGGTATAGAATAAAGGAGCAATAAATAAAAAACAAAGAATAAAATTGACAAAAAACCTGGATTTTCAATAAACAGAGATGTTGGCAATAAACGAAGATCTTGAACAAGATTTCTAACGTTAAGCAAGCCACTGTATATAAAGAATGGTTTTTTTATATCCTTTATATGCAGAAGACTCAAATGCATTTGTAATGCAAAAATTGCACCAAGCACACCAAAAAAGAAGAAGTAAAAGATGACCACTTCGCCTGTTTCATACATATACATATAGAATCATCTGTTTGTTTTCTTTTTTTTGGTTTTAATTACATAAATAATTGTAGTAAATAATATTCTATTTTCAAAAAGGAAATAATATAAATAAATTATATTTTTACCCCATTCCCTTGCAGTTCTGTCAAATATTGTCTTTTCTTCACCATTCCAAATGAATCGCAACAAATTACCAACCCGGCCTAAATCCGGTTGTGGTTTTCTACTTTTGTAATAAGCTTCATCGTGTAAAATAATCATCGTTTGCACATAAAATAAATATATTTCGTAATTGTTGTATATTTATTAATAATAAATCAATTATTTTTGTTGATTGTGAATATAGCAATTGTTCATATAAGGTGAATCCCCTTGTCATTGTACATCGATCAAAAATATTTAATTCTATGCATACGAATGAACCTATTCCTACGTATATTTGAATAATTTCATTAACATAATTTCGTTTGTTTTGTTTTTTTTCTTCCTCCTTCTTCGCCCTCCGGGCGAAAAGCGTCAACTTTTCTCCCGCTGTTCAAAACGAAGTTGCCGCTTTCCGCCTACGTCGAGCAGAAAAAATGTATACTCACCATGGGCAGTAAATAAGAAAGCCTTAGAGCACATGTTTGTTGACCTCGGCTTCGCCTAAGACAACAATTACATGTGCTCTGAGACATTTCTTACTTTACCGCCCTAGGTATGTAGTATACTAATATTTAAAATATTGCAAATTTTTGTACACATCTAATTAAAAAATACAGGCACATGTGCAGATATGTGTGAAGAAATCGAGTCGATCGATTTCGGCATAGAATAATCAATAGAAGAATATTTTATACATTATCCAATAGCAATGCAAAGCTTAGTAAAATTGTATCTCGTATTTCCTAGTAACTTTTCAAATTGTAAAGCGGCCAAAAAATTAATTGCCTTTGTCCTCAATTGAAAATGAACACATTGGACAGTCAGCTGACCCGTCTTGTGATAGCAGCCACCTTATACCAGTTGTGTCGGCTGGATTCGCATTACGAGACGCTATACGTCGTTGTAAGTTATCCGTTCTTACTCCATTTTATTTCTAATATTTTTTATTCTTTAACTATTCTTAATATTCATTCAAATATTTTCTACAACTATTTAATCGATATTAACGAATCGATAATATATATTAAATGCAGTCTCGCCTTGTATCGATCGATTTACGTTGTCTTACATTTCTTTTATTTCTACGATTTATTTTTGTATCTTTTTTCTTATTTATTTAATAACTAAATAAATTATAAAATGAGATATTTATGTCATTCTTAATTCGATTGAATGAATTTTTCTTATTTGTATCACATTGCGATTAATAAATTATTCATTGCTTGTTAAAGTCATTTAGCTGCTATTAAGTGGAGGGCTACGCCTATTTTTCGAATATTGCTCTCACGTGAGTTTTCGAAAGATAATCTTTGACAATTCTTTTTTCCACCACATATAATATGATTAATATAAAATATTATATTTGACGATTATATTACGAGTGAATATTTTTTCATTTTTTCATTTTTTTATTTTTTCTTTTTTCTTTTTTCTTTTTTCGCAAATATATAAATTGAAACGTCAATAAATAATAATTAAGATATACTTCAGTTATGTCATTGATGTCACACCTCAATTTCATAATCATATATCGCACTTTATTTTTTAATGCTTCATATGTTATTGATAGTTTTTCATTTAATTATTTTATTGTAGATAAATACCACGTGATTTATAAACAAATTCACAATGACGAGCCACGGGCTGTCAAAAATTGGACAGGATGAGAAGGAGTCCAAGTATGGATATGTTTATGCTGTTTCCGGACCTGGTTAGTCTATACTATATTACTTCTTATTTTTCTTCAAATAAAATCAATACAAAATTACATATATTATTTATTTTCTAGTTGTTACTGCGGAGAAAATGTCAGGCTCTGCTATGTATGAATTAGTTAGAGTTGGATATTATAACTTGGTAGGAGAAATTATTCGTTTAGAAGGAGACATGGCTACTATTCAGGTATAATTTATGTTATATATTTTTCTATGAATTAAACAATTATTCATATATTTAAATATTTATATAGGTATATGAAGAAACCAGCGGTGTAACTGTAGGAGATCCTGTACTTAGAACAGGAAAGCCATTATCTGTAGAATTGGGTCCTGGAATATTAGGCAGTATTTTTGATGGTATACAGCGTCCGTTAAAGGATATTAATGAACTTACCAGTTCCATTTATATACCAAAGGGTATTAATGTACCTTCCTTATCGCGTTCCACATCGTGGGAATTTAATCATTCGAACATAAAAAATGGCAGTCATATAACCGGCGGTGATCTGTATGGTATAGTTTATGAAAATACGTTAGTAAAGCATAAAATGATTTTACCTCCAAAGAGCAGAGGCACTGTTACTTATATCGCACCGAATGGAAATTATACGGTCGATGTGAGTCAAGATTTTGTCTATTGTAATCTTTTTCATGAAATGTGCTTTAAATGGAGTTTCTTAATATTTTCTTTTGCTTAACAGGATGTTGTATTGGAGACAGAATTTGATGGTGTTAGGCAAAAGTATACTATGCTTCAGGTACAAATTAATGGTCATTTAGATAAAGTCTTTTTTGCCCAACTGTAACACAAAGAATCTATATAATAAATTTATTTTAAAATGTAAAGGTATGGCCAGTACGTCAACCCCGTCCAGTTACAGAAAAATTGCCAGCCAATCATCCGTTACTTACCGGACAACGTGTATTAGATTCTCTTTTCCCGTAAGATAAGATAATAATTTTTTGGTAATATTACAAAAAGATATAAAAGTTTTGTACAGTTTCTATGATTGTAATAGAGTCAAATGACTCCACTGATTAACAATGTAATTTATATCTTAGATGCGTACAAGGAGGAACAACTGCCATTCCTGGAGCTTTTGGATGCGGAAAAACAGTCATTTCTCAAGCTTTGTCGAAATATTCAAATTCTGACGTTATTATATACGTAGGATGTGGTGAGCGTGGTAACGAAATGTCCGAAGTATTACGTGATTTTCCCGAATTAACGGTGGAAATCGATGGTGTTACCGAATCTATCATGAAACGTACAGCTTTGGTAGCTAACACTTCCAACATGCCTGTCGCTGCTCGAGAAGCTTCTATTTATACCGGTAAAAATATCTTGTAGTTTTTTTTATTAATATATTATTAACATTGATTAGAACATTAAATAATAATATCAAATATTGGCACCTACTTTTGCAGGTATCACTTTATCTGAATACTTCCGAGATATGGGTTACAATGTTTCAATGATGGCTGACTCTACTTCTCGATGGGCAGAAGCATTGCGTGAAATTTCTGGTCGTTTGGCTGAAATGCCCGCAGATTCTGGTTATCCTGCATATCTTGGTGCTCGATTAGCCAGTTTTTATGAACGTGCAGGACGGTATGTGCAAATTTTATCGTATTCATTGAAATTATTTTGAACTGATGATAATACGTCTATCTATTTTTTTCTATAGAGTTAAGTGCCTAGGAAATCCAGATAGAGAAGGATCTGTCAGTATCGTCGGTGCCGTATCTCCACCAGGTGGTGATTTCTCAGATCCTGTTACTAGCGCTACTCTTGGTATAGTACAGGTAAATAATATCTTGCTTATTTTGTTTTTCCAACATTGTACAAAGGAATAATTTATAATTTCATATTATATATATATATATATATATATATTACGTTTGTTTTGTTTCATTAGGTGTTCTGGGGATTGGATAAAAAACTTGCACAACGCAAACATTTTCCATCTATTAATTGGCTTATATCGTACAGTAAATATTTACGTGCATTAGATGATTTTTATGACAAAAACTTTCCTGATTTTGTGCCACTGAGAACAAAAGTAAAAGAAATTTTACAAGAGGAAGAAGATTTATCTGAAATTGTACAGCTGGTTGGTAAAGCTTCTCTTGCAGAAACAGATAAGATTACATTAGAAGTTGCTAAACTTTTGAAAGACGATTTTCTTCAACAAAACAGGTTAGTCTATCGTACATTGCATCGATAATGTATTAATTAATATATGCTATATCATTTTACTCTAATATTTCGTTTTCGTTTTTAGTTACTCCCCGTACGATCGTTTCTGTCCATTTTATAAAACTGTAGGAATGTTAAGAAACATGATTGCATTTTATGATATGGCAAGGCACGCGGTAGAATCTACTGCTCAATCTGACAATAAGATTACATGGAATGTCATTCGTGATGGTATGGGTAATATTCTTTATCAACTAAGTTCAATGAAATTTAAGGTAAGTAAATAAAATAAAATAATATAAAATATTTCCTTTTCTACATGTTCAAGTATTTTCCCGGTCAATATAAATCGAATCAAAAGAAATTATTCATTTGACATGTTATATGTATATATATTTCAGGATCCTGTGAAAGACGGAGAAACTAAGATAAGAGCTGATTTCGATCAGTTACATGAAGATATCCAACAGGCATTCAGAAATCTAGAAGATTAATTTGTTACGGGAGTATCAACTAGCAACAATGTTGGATTACTTTCATTTTTAGATAGTATGATTTAAGGACGTCCCGGTTTAATTTAAAAACATAAGGAAAAATGAACAAAAAATAATTCCTCACATAAAAAAAGAAACAACAAAAGAAATAAAAATAATAGATCATTTTCATTAAATTGACCATTTCTTTTACGAAGTAGCAATAATGTGTAATACATTAAAATGTATGTTTCTTATGTATTATAATACGCATAATAATGCGTACCCTTATATTGCATATAAATACGCCTAAGACAATAAAGCGGGATGTTCTTAGATACCTATTTGTGTCACTTGGAAATGTGTTAAACATTCTTATATATTATACTTGCATTACATGTGATAGAATCACTTGTGTAATTAGGAAATGATATAAAATTAGAAAATTTCATTTTGCAATCTATTTTTATTGCTTCCGTCTTCTATGCATTTGTATAATACACATATGTGAAAATATCGTGAAATGCTTCCTGAATATAGAAACAATAATAAAATGCAAGAGCAGATAATTATCTAACAGTTTAAATGTATGATGAAGATACAAAATGATTTTTCACTGAATTTAAGAAACACTGCTTTATCGTTAAAAAGACATGTTACCACTAGCTGTAATGTATCCATTATCTTCTATTTAAAAAGATTTTGGAGCATAGAATCATTACTGTAGAACGCAAAATGAAATATTATACTATATTTGTTGTTTCAATAACTTTGACGTTAATTCTATTATTGTACAATATGTAAAAAGAGAATAAAAATCATAAATAAAAGGAATATCTTTACCAAATGGTGATATTAAATAAAACAAACATCTTAATCGTCACTTTAATCTGATTATTTTAATGATGCGACGACGATCAATAATAATTACATAACAATGTAATACTATGTACATTAACGATATATTACAATTATTTTCTGCATAATTAAAGTTTAGACGTGTTATTTACTATATATGTGCATATATCACATTGTTGTTTACACGAACGTAAAAGTATAATTAATACGTTTTACATTCCATCCTATTTTATTGTATATATATACTTTACATATCTCGCGCGCGCGAGTTAATATAAAAGATTTATTAAAAATAAAATATATTCAACACACAATATTCACAAGTATTCAACTGCATATTCGGCATGTCAACAAATATTCATAATTGAAACTGCATCTGTATGATAATCAAAAAGTGAGCATCTATCATGCCCTTAGTCAAAAATGTTAATGTATCTATACCATTTGAATAATAACCACAGATAATTTAGCACAAAATTCATTTACGTAGTATACTAACTACCTATAATACCGAACCAAGTTATTAATTTACATGTAGAAATAAGCAATATATTTATGAACATGAAACATAGTAGTAACAGATTAAACTCAGTGATAGATGTGGTTGCAAATTTAAAAATATACAATATCAAATAAAACATTATTCAAATTCTTTGTTTCAGAATCATTTTTAATCTCAAAATCAATTTTTTTTCTGTAATATAGATTGTGAAAGAATATTTAATGTTATATTACATGTAAAACTTGATTCTGGAAATTAAATGTTTTAATCTTGTCTTTGGATTTGAGAAGACATTTTTTTATATATTAAAATATTGCATCGTATTTTCATAGCGTGAGTAACCACACTCATCCGCACACACGTTCACACATTCACAATTTTCGGTCATTCTTATTACTCTTAAAATCCTAATTAAATGATAGTTGAAAAATAACAATTATTATAGCACAACTTATATAGTTGCAGTGTTTAAATAACAATATTAACAAAGTATACTTAAAACCACAGCATATCAAATGTGTGTGTGTGTATGATATTTGTTTATTAAAGTAATTTACGTAATAACGTAATTACGTTATATATGTATCATATATCATAATATACATATATACGATATATATATATCATAATTATTTACTAGGTCATACTAATTCTTTATAGTTAATCAGATATTGATATAACTCCGAAATTATAGAATTTACTACAAGTTGATTTAAAGTTTAGGAAACAGCAAACAATAAAAAAAGGAAAGAAACCAAAAAAAAGAAAAACTAAATATATATATATCTAATTCATATAAGACAGCTAATATTTACATGTGAGACTCTTATTCAAAATTACGAACTTAAATGAACATCAGCACTCGTTCCTGATGATGAAGATAACTGTGTTTGAAGCTGAAGATTCTCACGCTTCAATTGCGAAATAATTTGTTTTAAAGCAGTTATTTCTTGTCTTAATTTCTCATTATCTCGTAAACATTGACCCAATCCTTGATTAGCTGCACGTAATTCGCCTATGTACTCGCAAGCCTTTGCTAAAATCCCTCCTTTGCTCTAATAAAGGAAATTAGAAAAATATCACAAATTTATTTTTTACAATAATACCAACAATATATTGGCAAGTACGTTAACGGATAAATGTATATCTATCTAATCTGTTTCCTATTACCTGGGTTTCATAGTTTGCCTTTCCTTCTCCGCTATTACCACTTCCAGTAGTATTGCTGGTCGCATTACATTCGGGTATTATTTTTCCTAATCTTGCTATCCAATTATTGATTTTATCTCTACGTCGACGTTCAACTTCATTATGTGTTGCTCTTCTTCTATCATCTCTCTGAAATATGATTTCAATTTGTCCTCTGTTTAAAAGAAAATGAAAACTTTATTCGATATAAATACCTTTTTTAAGCCGGTAGTACAATTGCGTGGTGTTTCTATTTGAAGAGTAGTAGTCCTAGGAACTAAAGACCTAGATGTTTGAGCCGTAGTGAAAACGTCATTAGCATTGCCAATGACATAAAACTGTCCATTTAAAGGAGATGTTAAAACTTGTACGGTATTGCTTCCCGGTTGTCCTACAGGTAGTTCTATTTCATTATTGCTTGAATTACCATTGACTTGAACCACTCTATACGCTAGCGCTTCTTGATATCGCATTCCATTATCGCCAACTGCTTCTGCTAATATATAATCATATATATATACATGTACATGTATATGTGTATACATGTATTTATATAAAAAGAAAGAAAGAGAGAGTGGGAGAGAGAGATTTTATGCATGCTTACAAAGGTTAATATTCATGTAATATATGATCAATTTTATTTAAGAAAATAGAATTGGAAGTAAAGTTTGAAGTAATATTAATGCACATTCTCTCTTTAAACATTCATTGTAATATAGTAAAATTGAAAAAATAGGTAAGATTTACCCTTTTACCTTCACAATCAACAATCTCTGCTTCTTCGATAACAATTCCTGTTCCAGATTCATCCTTTGTTGCAACCGTGCTGAAAACAAAAGGCTTTATCTGAAATACGTTCGCATAAAATATCACTGCAGTTACAACTATGCCTATTACTTCCACGACTCCTGTCGTCCTACGGCTGTAAGTGCGCACCGTGCACTATCTGGTGACCTTGACGAAACCTCAGGCGGAACAGGAGGAATATGTGTTTTCATCATTAACCAGCCGATAGTTAATATAAACGCTACCTGACATCCTGCTGTTGAAGGTGTTGATCCAAAATGTCCATATTATCCACCAAAAATGTTTGAATTTGCCAAAATTCACGTGAGCTGGTCACGGGACGCGGCAACGAGGTCATGTGGTGTACAAGATGGCGATTCTCGACGTAGGCACCATCTATTGCTATTGTAATCCAAAAATGAACAACTTATCTACGCAGTAGTTGATCAATTCCAAATTCACAAAATGGTGAACGTATGATTTTCATTCGTATTCTCAATTACATTATAAATGTACAGAAAACTTTTAAATTATAAAATAATAAAAATAACAATAAAATGAAATAACACGAAACATTAAATTAAATTGTCTAGTTATTAAAAAAGATTCAATTAGAATTGATACTTGATATAAAATTTGTCCTTGCATTTTTTAAAAGTTCAATTCCAAAATTACAAATTTCCCGCTTTTTCGTCAAATCCCTAGAAATAGAGTAAGACAAGTTTTGTGTGGAATACCGATGTTGGCGTTCTGATCTAACCCAGCTGGCAACAGCGACAGCTGGGCGGTTTGTCAATGTTAATAAGACGATCAAAGATTTGATTTATAATCGAAATAGTATCGTTTTTAATTATGTCAAGATATGTTTTTAATATATACGTAGGACAATGAAAGTAACTGACATTGTTTTATGACCAAAAGTATTATTTTCTGTTGATTTATAGTTACTATGATGTTCACGACCATATCTATTTTATTCCTTCTTATTTTATGCAATATTAAAGGAGAATTGATATCCAGCCATCCAAAGTTATTAATAGTGTCATACGATGCTTTCAGGTATATAACTTTTATTTCTGTATATTCTTAGTTATCAAAATTAATGGTATGTTTGAAGATAACCTTTTTTCTCCAGATATGATTACTTTAATAGAAATGTTACGCCTTTTATGAATAAGTTAAGGAACGAAGGTACTCATGCCGACTACATGATGAATATTTTTGTTACTAAAACTTTTCCAAATCATCATACTATGGCAACTGGATTATATGCAGAAAATCATGGAGTTGTGGATAGTGAAATTTATGACCCTGTATCGGGCAACGTTACTAAATATTCATCTAAACTTTATCAGTATGACAATAAGATTCTTCCAATTTGGACAATTAATGAACAGAATGTAGGAAGGCATAGTGGTACTATGATGTGGCCTGGTAGTGTATTTGAATACGGTGGGATCACTCCTTCTTATACACAAGTATAATATTTTATAATACTTATATACTATGATGAATGCCCTATGCATACATGTATAGTGTATTATTTGATGCCATTGTCTTTTTCAAATGATTATTAAATATTAAATAATCATTTTTTTCAAGGGTTTTAACGATACTATCAATTGGGAAGAAAGAATAGATACGTTGATATCATGGTTTCTACATCCCACAAAGCCAATAAATTTAGGAATATTGTATATAGAAGAACCAGATTATCATGGTCATTTTATTGGGATAAATAATGATTCTTTTAACAAAATTCTAGAAAAGTTAGATACAATTACAAAATATTTACATATCAAATTACAGCAATATGGCTTAAATGATGTTAACGTTATCCATTTGAGCGATCATGGAATGACATCTGTCACATTGGACAGAATAATAGACTTGAATAAGTATATTAATAGTACCGATTATACTTTTGTTGGGACATCTCCAGGTTTACATATTTATCCAAATCCTGGTAAATTAATAAAATTTTCATTCATAGTAAAATAACTTTATTATTATTTTAGAAATTATCTACTTCTTCCTTCATTTAATCTAATTATATTTCTATAGGGAAAGAAGAAATTATTTATCAAAATTTGAAATCTGCTGCAGAAGAAACATTGAATTTTCAAGTTTATAAAAGACACGAAATTCCACAAAAATATCATTACGGTAATAATAAACGTGTCGGCCCTATTTTTGTTATAGCAAATGTGGGATATGCATTTCAGAATCTTTATGAAACTATTGAGTATTATAAAAAAAAGTTTAATATCACTGGTAATTATTAATATATATATATATATATATAAGTATTTATTAATATATCAACTATACTTTGCTTATCACTTATTTATCTTTAGTTAGATATAATAGTCATTATTAATACAAATAACAATAAAAATATATAGTAAGTCTAATAAGGAAATTGAAAGTAACATGTACTCTTTTACAGTTGATAGTACATCAGAATTTGGATTACATGGTTATGACAATGAAGCTATAGAAATGCATCCAATATTCTTTGCGAAAGGGCCTGCATTTCTTCCTGGTTGCAAACTGAAACCTTTCAAAAATACTGATTTATTTCCTTTATTTTGTAAAATACTTGACATCAAATGTCCTCGAACAAATGGTTCTCTGGCAGATGTAAGCCGATGCCTTAAATCACATCCCAATAATATAGACCTTGATAATATACCCATATTAACTTACGGAATTATATGTAAGTATATATGTATACATATATTATTTTTTTACATTAAATATATACAGGGTGATAAAAAAGGGTTTGATATTTGAAGGGTCTATAGTACTCATTGAAAAAAATAGCAAATGTCTAAATTATATGGGTCTTAAAAATCAACTCTTTTGCATTATATTAACTTTTACTATTTATGAACATTTGATATTGTTAGCGAGTCAACAATTTATATTATAATTTTTACATAAAGTTTTAAATGACATATATTTCTATTATATATTTTTTTCTATTTTTGATTGTAGAATACGTTTACAACCCTGTATATATATACAATAACAGCAGATGAGGTGTCAGTGATTTATAATTAATTATGAATATTTCAGTTGCAAGTATTGCGTTAGGTATAATGATGGTGGGAATGTCTGTAGCTCTATTGGTGGCTATAATAAGGAAGAAACAAATAAGAAGAATTAACTATAGGTACAGAGTTTTATAAAATATGACTGGCCTTAGTTTTTATTGTACGTACGTATGTGCAAGTATTAAAAAATTGAATATAAATATTTCCATAGTATATGGGTCATCGTTAAAGCGTTTAATTCCGTTATTTAAAGAAAGCATATAAAAAGAATTTTATTATACACTTTAACTAGTTATTCTATGGAATAATTAGTTGCTCCATATATTAACAAGAAGTGATTAGTTAAAGTATGAAATTAAAATTTTAATGTCAAGTATAAACAAAATATTCTTCGATTTTGTTTTAATACCTGGCTATTCTGTACTATTGTAAATTCGGAGACAATAAATATACTTTTATTCGTTTTATTATTTTTCACATTTACTTTTGATTAATGTACGTTAGAATCTGCATATGAAATGACGTATATAAGGTAAAATAAAGTGAAGAAAAAGAAGGAGGGAAGAATTAATCGGCTAAATCGAGGATTTCATTATACGATGAGTACTTATTGTATTAATTTTAGCCGAGCCATTGCCTGGAAATAAACATACATTAGTAAATACGTTTATACATGCTGTGTACTGAATATTTTTAAACTCTTTTATTATTTATCATTTTATATTTCATTCTTTCTGTCCTCTTTTTCCTACCACTCTCATTCGTAGATAAATAAGAAATGAAATTTCAGTAAATAAAATATATTTCACGTTCATTCTATTTCAAGAAACCCTTAGAAATATTTCTGAAAATAATATTTTAAATACCATTTTAAATACCAAATTCTCTCTTTACAATAGAAATAACAAGTACAAGTTTTTTACAGTATTTCATATGCTACACTTTGAACTTTTCAACTCTCTTATACATAAAAAAACTGCTCTACGTTCATATATATAAAATACGTTTATGTATTCCACCTGTGAAAATCTTATTTCTTAAACATTACATACTTATTAATATATTTTAAGTATTAACAATTGTTATAGTAATTCAATGTGATTACCGACGTTATCTTGTAACGTTAGTCGATAACGTAGAACATGATATAATCAACAGAAGTTAACACCGAAGATATTTTTATTACTTTATCAATAATTTTTAGTAGTTTAATATGGTTACTAACGTGATCTTGTAACGTTGATCGATAACGTAGAATATAGTATTGTTGATAGAAATTAATATTAACATTATTTTTTTTTTTTATTATATTCTTACTATTTTTTTTGGTTTTTAGCATTTTTAAATAATTTTGCATAATTTAACGTACTCATAACATTGATCAATCATATAGAATAAAATATTTAAAATTTAAAATAGATAGAGTAATTTTCTTTAAATTGAAAAAAAAATTGTATTTTTTTAAACTACTTTTATTTCTATACTTACTGCCTGTTAACTACGTTTACTGTTTTACGTGTTTTTTTAGCCCACTTTTTTTTTATTCGTTTATTCACTTTTTTCATTCTAGCCCTTTTTCATACATTCATCTCTAACTCTCACCAATGTTTCAGTGCCGGACAGTTGTCTAATAGGTTTATTTTTCATAGGCTTCTTGGAATTAGTAACGTGCAGTCCTTCATTGTTAGGTTTTCGTGGGCATCAACTGATCAGTTGAATTTGATTTTGTAGAAAAGATTATGAGAGAAGCATGGCATCAGTCCAAAAAGAGAGAGAGAAGGATTTTAAAAGATCATGCTATAGATAAAATCGATTAAAATGATGTTCTTTTTGTTTTTATCAATCATACGATGAACAATATTTACCAAGACTTGCATATTATTAGATTTAGCATCTGAAGTAATTAACACTGTCATGAATTATCGATATTAAAAATAAGTTTTTGATAATATAACCAGTTCATACAAGATTGTTATAATAAATGAGAACTACTTGAACGACATTGGTAGGGATGCTGGACGTGATAAGTAGTCATCTTATATGGCTGGTTTCATGTTACGTCTAGACTGACTGGTCACCATATATCGGGTGACAATTATTATATATATATATATATATATATTTGTTATATTATTATTTTACATCAGAGTAATTATTTATCTAACCATGGAAAATTTCTTTTCCTAAATCGAAAAATTCACTTCTTCCCCCTTTTAAATCTTTCCTTTCCCCATCTCCCAAAAATATACGAAAAATATATTAATCGTAACGATGTAAAAAATACATTTCATTTTTTAAAGAAGACACAACATTTTAAAGGACTTCGAGTACGATCGATGATAATACGAACTGGAATGAAGTCACGAGGTTTATAAGTTTGAACGGATCACCCGTTGTATAGCTTGAATCGACGCACACCTGGATAAGATACAGATACTATACGAGGAGGATCTTCTTTGTGCTAG